ATGGTCCCTTGAATATGTATTCCAGCCCCGCATGCTCTTTACAGTATGTATAACCATCCTCCATGGAGAGGTGAGGTCTCTTCCCTCCCCTTGAACCTGAAACCTTTGTAACTTCTGGTGGGACTTCTGGTGGTGGGTGTAACTTCTGAACTTCAAGTTCAGGGCCTTGGGGTTGATGAAGGAGGAGATAGGATGATGAGAGGCTAAGTAACACTTTATTGGGGTGGCACTTGGAGAGAATTGCATGACAGGGAAAGTCTTTCCCAGTGACATAGGCTCAACACTCACGAAAACTGACATTACTAAGGAAAAATTGGTTTCAGAGATGGCTGTGTGGGACCACCGCCCATTAGGGGACTAGGACAAGGGGACTTCTAGGATGAAAGGGGAAATCAGAGGGGCTCATGTGTCCAAGAAATGTCTCTCAGCAGTAATTGCCCTGAAAGGCAGCGGTGGTTTGGGGTCTTTTATGGCTATAAGGCTGTCTTATCTATGGTTAGCAGGTGTTTGATGCAGTTTTGTGGGGTTTGTTAAGTTGGTAGGCTCTAATTGACTAAAAATACTGTCTGGGGACTACATTTAAAGCAATTGGATGTGTGAGGATTTGGCATCAGTGGGCTTTGGGCTAATGGTCCTAGCCTGCTGTGAAGAGGTAAACAACATGGGGGCCATTCTAGGTGAATACAGAGGGGCCATCTCTGACCCATTTACAGAATCTTGCAACCAATAGAATGCAGTGGAAGTTCCAGTTAAATCATTTTAAGGTAACAATCAGTGTTTGCTTTCTAATGAGTGTACAATATTGTTCACTGCAGAACCAAGGAGAGAACTGTGTTCCTTCCTTTCTGTCTTTACCCTCTAGTATCTGATGGCCTTCCCTTTTTTTTTTCACCTTGCTCCATATGCCATAATTATCATAATAGTAATCCTTAATTATTTCCACTTGTGCCACCATATCAGTGTTCTGTTACTTTCCAGAGATGTCCTTCAGGGGTCTTCTGTCCTCCTCCACCTGCTTCTGTAGGCTGGCTGAACCATCAGCCTGACCCTGAGCCCTCCTGCCTTGGAGCCCATGTCTTCCTCTGAGGTTTACTCCCTTATGTAGTGGAACATGTCCTACAGTAGCTTCCTGGGAGAGAGTGCATGGGAAGAAAATCCTCTGAAGTCTTAATATGTCTGAAGATATCCTTATTCTGTTATACCTGGTTGGAATACTGAGTTTAAGCTAAAGATTATTTTCCCTTAAAATTTTTTATAGTCCTTGTCCTCATATTTTTCTTATATCAGGTTTGCTGTTGAAAAGTTCAGTATTCTGATTCTTGTTCCTTTGCATCTGACGACTACTACTTTTTCTCCTCTTCCTCTCTCTCTGTCTCTCTTCCTCTCTCTCTCTTTCTCTCTGTCTTCCTCTCTCTCAAGAATATCCTCTGCCGTATCTGGCAAGTCCTAGTGTGCGAGCCTCTCAAGAGCTCTCTGAAGGCAAATTAATTTTCTTCTCCCCTTTTTCTCCTCTGCACACATAGGGCATGGCTCCCTTTTCTGTGTACAAACATTTTCTATTCCCTTGTCCCTTATTAACTGAAAAATCTAGTCCATTAATTTCCTCTCTTTTTCTCTTTGTCCCTGTGGATTTAACCTCTTAAGTTTACTTGGTATCATTAGTAGGATCTTGGGAAGGTGAGGAGAAACACATGTGTTTCGTCTTTGACTGGAAGTCCATAAAGACTTTTTGAAGTCCCTATGTTCATATTTTTTTCACAAAAGATTGTTTATTTTAGCAGTAAAGAGGATAGTATGTTTAAGAAATCTCAAAATGAATAATTGAGCCATGATTCTGGGATGTTCTTTAGAGCATCATATTTCCAATGATTATGTAGAGCAAATTCATGATGTTTAATTTCTTAGACCTTTCTCTTGATTCGAGTAAAACCCCTTTTGCTGGTTCTTAGAATGGAAGAGCAAGCTCTGTGATCTGGTCATTCTGGGTCTCTGAAAACGCTTTTTAAAACATTGACAATCATCCTAAACATAAAATAGCTAGAGCCAATACTTTAAAAGCTATCTTTTTATTTATTTATTTTAAATATTGGCACCTGAGCTAACAACTGTTGCCAACCTTCTTTTTTTTTTTTTTTTCTTTATCTCCTCAGGCCCCCCCGTACACAGTTGTACATCTTAGTTGCAGGTCCTTCTAGTTGTGGGATGTGGGACGCCACTTCAACATGGCCTGACGAGCGGTGCCATGTCCACGCCAAGGATCCGAACCCTGGGCCACCGCAGTGAAGCACGTGAACTTAACCACTCAGCCACGGAGCCGGCCCAAAAAGCTATCTTTTTAAAAAAGAAAGATAAATGTTAAAGATAAATTAATTGGCCCAACTCTTTAGTCAAAGCCATTTGGTAAATGGCAAAAACTTTGGGATGATTGGGCAACGCAAACTCTGAACTTTGTCAAACACACATTTGTTTCTGACATTATCCTGTGCCCAATGATGTGAGCATCCCCTCTTCCTGGAACACGCTTGCATGTCCTCCTCTCCCTGCCCCCTTTTGCCTGGTTAACTCTGTGTCCTACAGCTGAGATTTTAGATTCACCCTTCTAAGTCCAAGTTACATGGCCGCATGAGTTCCCCAAACACCCTATACTTTCCCTATCATAGTATTTATGTCCTATTATCATTACTTGTTTGATGTTTTCCCCTGCAAATATGTGAGCACAAGAGCTGAGATCAAACCTGTTGTATTTTAATCAAATGTGTGCGTGGCACATAGTTGGTGCTTAGTATTAGAATAAATTAATGAATAAATGAGCGAATTCGAATGCATAAGCATGGTTCTTGCCAAGGAAATTATGATCTAGAGAAGGGGCTATGACAGGTAAAGACCGCTTCTGTACAATATTAAGGGTCGTAAGAAAGAGTTGTGAGGAGGTAGGAGGAGTGTGCTGGGAATCTGGGAGAGGAAAGCTCCTGGGTGAGACCCAGGAAGTACTGTGGACACTTTGAAGGATGAGTAGGAAGAAGCAAGGCTCCTGACTTGGTGAAATTGAGGCAGGAGAACTTTTGGTCTTTGGAAAGCTGTGGATTAAGGCAGAGGCCCTCAAAGTATTGTCTTTGGGAAATGCGTAATATTTGCAATATGATTGTGGCTCTGCTTTTACTTTTGGCATGGATTAATAACTTAATGATTTTTAAGTTTCGTAAATGGCATCTTCTCATCAAGTCTGCATAGTTCTATCCGTTGGTGAGGTGTCTGTTTCCCTTCTCCACCCCGCCTCCCCTCCCCTGCCTTTGTGAAATCGGGAATAGCAGCTACATGGTTGGGGAAAGCACAGAGAGCAGAGCTTCTCAGCCTTCAGTGTGCGTACAAATCACCTGGAAAACGCATATTTCAGTTCAGTAAGTCTGGGGTGGGGTCCAAGGATTTCCATCTCTAACTAGCTCTCAAATGACGCTAAAGCTGCTGTCCCCAGACCACGCTATAAGTATCAGGGCCTGGGGTGGGAGCTCTAGCTGTGGACTAAAGAGACAATTACAGGCGGAGCCATAGCAACTTGGAGAAGGTTCCCTGGTTCAGTGACTCCAGCTATCCCTCCTCCAGTGTTCCTTTATTCTTAATCATTTACAGGTGTTTGTGTTTTTGTTTGATTGCTTTTCTCCTCTTATAATCCAGTCTATGAACATTCTAGTCAAGTTGTCAATTCTGCTCAGGAACTGAAGATGGCACCACAATCTTAGTCATAAAGGACACTTCCAGTCCCAAATGCTGTTATGCAAGGGAAAGGCATTTTCCTGCCCCTCTTGAGTGTTACAGTTCTTATTCTCTGGCCTGATTTTTGCTCAGAGAAGACAAGTTACTTTGCAAATGGAGCATAGTTTTGGGGGGTTTTTTTGAAAATCAGGCTGGACAAAGATTATGGCCAGACCTTTTTCTTAAAGGTTTTTTAGAATCCTATTTTAAAAGGTTATTTTATATGTTCAAGATGAATTGCAATTTCTGTTTCAAAATACCTGGATTTTTTTCCCCAGTATTTTCATTTCCTTCAGAGAAAGAGTGTTATTTTTGACTGATGCTCTATCTAATAACCCATAATAATGGAATTTAGGTGAAAAAGGGTTGAAGAGTTTTAGACCAATTAGCTCACTTGACAAAAGAGAAAACAGTCTTCCCAGTTTTGCTTAAGTTCTCTTGAAAGAGTTTCTGTTCCTTGCAACAGGAAAAATCCTAACAGACCCGTATGTAAGGAACCCTCGCCCAGGGAGTGTGCAGCCTCCAGGTGGAGGATCCTGTCTATGCTTTATGTCTTCTTAATTTGATTTTGGCTTCACCGCAGGCTGCATTCTGACCTCTCCAAGGGCTAGGAATGCCCCATTTGGGTCAATAGCTACTCCCAGCCTCTCACTGCAGTAAATAATAGATGAAGCCAGTGGTTCTCAAACATTGTTGGGCATTAGAGTCACTTGAAGGGCTTCTTGTTAAAGCACAGATTGCTAATTCAGTAAGTCTGAGGTCAGGGTTATGAATTTGCTTTTCTAACAACCTCTCAAGTGATGCTAATGCTGCTGGTCTGGGACCACACTTTGAGAACTATTGGATTAAGGTAACTTTGGAACAAGGCCATGGTTTAGAAGTAGCCAGGAAAATGAGCAAAATTTCTTCAGGGAATCAGATATGCACACAAGATTTAATCTTTTCCACCATGCAGACAGCTTCCCTTTAAAAGGAAATAGCATAGCATAGCTGTTCACGGAGGGAGAAAAAGAGGATATTAAAAATGTGGACAAGTGGGAAGCTAGGTATGGAGCAAAGTAGAAGCAGGATGAGCAGGGAACGTCAGAAGGGCTCGGGTCTGTCCTGCAGAGTGGCTGACCCAAATGTGCTTGCATTTAGGAAAGAGGGGTTCCTCTTCCGCCTTCCCACCAAACCCCTCACAGCTGCTGATGAGGGAAAGTCCGTCCACTACTCTCTCATTCTTTCTAAAAGTATGACTCCTGGTAAGATATTATTACGCTTCATTTACACTTGAATGTGAGTGATTTTTGAGTCATTTCTTTAGTTGAAATGGTGGAGTGGTGTCCTTTGAAATATCAGTCTATGCTTTTTTCCCTGGTATGTCCTCTGACCCTTGACCCCTCTCCCCATTCAATCAGTCCGCAGTTCTGTGATCATTGCCTCGAGAAGAGATACGGCAGCTGAAAGCAGAGAAAAGTGGTCTCCTCTGGTTGAGGACAGTTTGAACAGACAGGACTAGGGCACATTCAACGGATCTAAAAGAGAACATGGCAACAAGTAAGAGCAGGGCTTCCCCACTCCAGCCCACTGCCCTCCGACTAGAAAAGGATTTCCCACGGTGGAGGGAGAGGCTAGTCAGAGGGGAAGTGGAGGGACCTGGGGGGCAGGAACAGTGGTTGGTGGCGGTGGTGAGTTGGACACAACTCCTGGGAAAAAGCACATATTTTCAGGGGAATCACCAAATTGCTTGGGTTGGTTTCTGCCAGCTAGTGGAAAGGAAGCCTAAATTAAATCAAGTCCCTAGAAAATGAAGAAAGTTACAATTACTGTGTACATGGGCTATGTACTGCTATTTCTACCACTCTAGGGGCCTTGTTCGGGGGAGGGCAAGAAGACGCATGGCTCAGGGGTAGGGAGTGGGGGCTAAATGGTGAGGGACTGGGCAGGGCAGGGCTGAGCAAGGGGTCCAGTGTATGAACTGGCCTGTGCACAGCAGCCTTCTGGTCCCCATGCTCCCAGGGCGGTCACCAAGGGATCGAGTGCTCAGCTCTGAAAGCTGGGGAGACTGTGGAAGGAAGGACCAGTGTCAGCTCACACCCACCTCTTCCTTGAAGGCTTGGTGGCTCCCCAGAGAAGAATGTCGTCATTCCCTCTTTGGACTCCCAGAGAGAGACCTGGCGGAAAAGCCTGTGGAGAATTGTTTCCTCTGCATCTGGTGCCGGGCCTGGGGTCTCTGTTGGTCAACAGGGTTAGAAGTCAGGAAGAAATGCTGGTCACAGAGCAGGGGAGAACAAGGACACGCTGGAATTTGTTGGCACCTCTGTGCCTGTCTCTCACCCCCTCTGACCGTGCCAACCTTCTCCTGGCTGCTGCTTCACTTCTGTCCAAATCTTCTGCACGTTTCTCTTTTGGTCACCTCTAATCTAGAATCACAGAGGGAAAACAAACGCTGGGAATACGTGGTTCCAGATTAGCCAAATTGACACACTACACAACCCCCCGCAGAACTGTCTTGAAGGGTTGAGAACAGTACCTATAAAAACATAATTTACCTTTTGAAAAGGAATACTCTGATTGCCATGAGGAAAATAGACTCTAGAGAACTAATTGTGGACAGAGAGAGACCAGCTAAAGACTATGGCAGTAATGTAGTCGGAGATAGAAGTGGCTTGAATTAGAGGGGTGACAGAGGAGGAGGTGACTTTTGGAATTGGGATAGATATATATATATACTTTTTTTTTTTTTTACTTTTTGTTGAGATTACGATAGTTTGCAACCTTGTGAAATTTCAGTTGTACATTATTATTTCTCAGTCGTGTTGTAGGTGCACCATTTCACCGCTTGTGCCCACCCTCCACCCCCCTTTCCCCTGGTAACCACTAATCTGTTCTTTTTGTCCACCTGTTTAACTTCCACATATGAGTGGAGTCATACAGAGATTATCTTTCTCTATCTGGCTTATTTCACTTAACATAATACCCTCAAAGTCCATCCATGTTGTTGTGAATGGGACGATTTTATCCTTTTTTATGGCTGAGTAGTATTCCATTGTGTATATATACCATATCTTCTTTATTGGAATTGGGATGTATTTTAAAGGTAGCGCTGATAGGCTTTGCTGATGAATTGAATGTAGCATGGGAGAAGAAAAGAGAAGTCAGTGATGACATCAAGGGTTTCAGCCTGACCAAATGGTGGTGCCATTCCTTGAAATGGAAAAGATTGAGGGGGAAATGAGTTTTGGGGTTGGGGAAATTACATATTCTCTTTGACCGTATTAAGATTGACATGCCTGTTCGATATCCAGGTGGAGATGTGGAAGTAGCTGTATCTACAGTGCAACTCTGGGGTGCAGGAAAGAGGTTGGGGCTGAGATGCACATGTGGGAGTCAGCATCTGGATGATATGGGCATATAGCGAGATTGAGCTAATGACAGGGCCATGGGCTTAGATGTATTACCCAAAGAGGGTTTATTGATGGAGAGTAGTTTGGAGCCCTAAGGTAAAACCAACATTTAGAAGTCAGAAAGAGTAGGATAGTGTCCAAGAAGAAGTAGAAAGTAAGGAGGACATCCAGATGAGGGCTTCTGCGAGGTCAGAGGAAGATGATTTTTTTAAGATAGAAAATATTAGTATGTTTGTATTCTGATAGAAATGGAAGGGCTAGCCCCGTGGCCAAGTGGTTAAGTTCACACACTCCACTGCGGTTCACTAGTTTGGATCCTGCGGATGGACCTACACACCACTCATCAAGCCGTGCTGTGGCGGCGTCCCTCATAGAAGAACTAGAGTGACTTACAGCCACGATAGAAAACTATGTCCTGGGGCTTTGGGGAAGGAAAAAAAAAGAGAGAGAACTTGATAGTGCTGGAAAGAAGGGATAATGTCAGGGCAAAGTCACTTAATAGCTGAGAGGTCATGAAAATAGAGTGTTATTTTACATTATAAGCTTTTTATATTATAAGCTTATGTTATAGGCAGCTTTTGTCCTCTGTGTTTCTACTCTCTGGTCAATTAGGGTGCTTTTGACTGCAAGTCAAAAAAGTCAAGGAAACCCGAGTCAAACTTGCTTAAACAATTAATAGACTTATGTCCTGTGAAAAGTCCACGAGTGGGGCAAAGCTTGATCCAGCAGCTTGGCGATGTCGCCAAAGACTTAGTTTCTTTCCATCACCCTGCACCGATTCGTCCACTCTGCAATATGTCAGCTCCGATTAAGGCTGGCTCCCTTTGTGGTCTCAAGATGACTGCCAGCAGCTCTTGTGGCTACGTGTTTCTTCATTTTGTTCACTAAGAGAGTAGCCCAGTATTCCCAGAGAAAACCCTGAGATTCACCCTTTCTGGACTAGGTCAGGTCGCATGCCTGCCCCCAAACCAATTTCTGCAGCCGTGCTGAAGGAATGCGCTGATTGGCAAATCCAGATGAGCAGGGGCGACGGGAAAAGAGTAGTGTCCACTGTAAGCATGTGGACAAAGTCACATTGTAACAGGACTAAACGTCCTCAGGCCACCACTGGACAAAGATAACACATGCTAAGTACACATGTCCTAGAACAGGTACAAATTGCATCTGGGAATGAGTTTACTTGCTATTTGATGGATAGAGATAATAATTGTTCCTTTGTTTCTTTAACAGACAGGTACTTAGATTATAGGCCATTGGCTAAGGTAAAATGTCATTGGATTTCACAAGTATTAGTTTCTTGTGAAACTTGGTCAATAATTTAAGATGGTAAAAATAATTTAAGATGGTAAAAAATCTCTCTTCAAAGCACAAAAGTTTAGTTTACTAACAATTAGCTTTGTGGCTACATGAAGGGCCGGGATAAGTGAGGCAGTATAATGTGGCCCATTGCAGGGCAGCAGTTTCTGGATACAGCCAACAATTTATGGTCTGGTTTTCCGCTCCAGGGCTAATTACGGTGTGGATTTTCACAGCAGCTGTTTAGTGTCAGCTATAAAGAGAGGTGTGGAAACCTGAGGCATGGTTAAAATTTCAGTCCTGAAGCTTCCTGATCATTGCAGTGCAGCCTCATTTGAATCTGTAATGAATTCCTTCCCTGTGAACAGCCAGACACCTCATTACTACCCGAGACCTGCTTCTACTCTGCCAGTACTTTCTTTAGTGGGACCATTCAAATTCCTTAGATTATGAGGCCACAGAATTCCATAATGCTGTAATTATTCCTGGCAGAGAAAGAGCAGCCTGATGGAAACGCCCCGTCAGCTGGTCAGACGCCCTCTCTGGGGAGCTGTTCCAGCCCGCATGCAGCACACTGAGCCCTTTTCCCCTGGCAGCCCCGTGAGAGCAGGAATGCAAGATAATGGCCAAAACAAGCTTCTTTCAGGACATGCCCCCACGCCAGCCTCTCTTTTGTTGACTCTGCTGCACCGCCCCCCCCCCTTCTCTGGCACGACAAAACGCCGCAACAGTGTACGATGCAGCCTCTCCAGGATCGACACAGATTGATTATAGCAAGAAATCAACAAAACCAACCCAATAACCCAACCAGTGGTCTGTTTCCCTTCATGTCTCCAAAGTTTCTACCATTTTTTTCTTCTCTCAGGCTACTATTTTTACTGGGACATCAAAGTTTTGTCTTGTCCATTCTTCTTTAGAATGTGATGTTATACCAGACAATTCTTGCTTAGGGCTTTATTGACAATGCTTAGAGTTCTTTGGAGCGGGGAGACAAAGTGGATTTAAAATTTATGAACAGCTGGACGGTGAACCAAGCCCTTGCTTCTTCTACCACTCGCTCAGTGTCTGCTTGGTGGGGTCACTTCCAGATGGGTGTGCCATCAAGATGCTTTTTCTGGATTGCGCTGGCCCAGCCTTCCACCATGGGAAGCAAATGCAGTTGTGGCCCAACTAGGTGCCAGGAATCTCATTTTCATCTCTCGTTAGAAACCTCTTCCAATACAGCTGTGAGATCAAGACTGTTCTGCTATATTTTATTTGCATTTGAATGGAGGACTCACTGTTTCCACATTCTGGAGGGAGGTAATGAAGTCAACTCAACTCAGCCACGACTAAGAACCCACGGGCAGGGCCACCCTAAAGAGGCAGTGAACATGAGACAGACCCAGTGCAGCCCACAAAGAGCGCTCAATCTAGTTTGCTCTTAATTAACTCTAGAGACCCTGCTCATCTATCTTAGATTGTCCTTTCATCCGACTTTCTTTCAAGACAATATCAGAATAATTTTTCTTCCTTTCTCCTCTCCAACTTTCACCCACAACTCAAGCTAATGCCCATGAAAACTAATGCTAAGTGTGCAGGAGACTGGATCATTTTCTCCCTTCCCTGTAACGCTATACATCTCTGCCCGCTGCCGTGTGACTTGTGGTAACCTCCCATAGGCAGAGTATTGTCAGGCTTGTTTGTATCTTTCTTGGGCCAGAGGCACGCAAGCAGAAGCGACAGTGGGCCAGAATGGAAAAGAAGTTTTAAGAGGCGGCTTACAGCTGGAAGATGTGGCTGCCTATTTCTACTAGTTCTTTGCTTTTCCCTCTCTCCTCATCCAAATAGGGACTTCACTTTTGGTTTGGGTCCTAGAATGAGAACATTAAGAAAAGCTGCAGTCGACTTACAACCACCAAACTGTCATGTGAGTGAAAAATAAAGATAATTTTGTGGTAAGTCACTGAGAATTTTAAGGTCATTTGTTACTGCAGCAGAGCCAACTAATAAAGACCAAATCATAAATAATAAATAGAAGACATAACAAATACAATAGTCACAATTCCCAGTCACCTTTATTTATATAAAAGTATATTAAATAAATTATCTCAATATATACAAACAGAACAATATTACCTCTATAAATAGTAAATCCCCATATATAAAACCTTTTTAAAAATTATATAAATATATACAATGCTGACCATGGAAACTTAAAAGTACCTTAAATTATAAACTCTACGTAGTTTGTTTGTATAGTAGTCCTATAAAAACATCGTCAGCTGTCAAATGTTTCATCAACAGCATGTAAGTCAGGTAAAGTGCTAAACTGCAATGCATGTTGGGATGTGCCCATAACAGAAGTCTTCTGCATTTAACACATTCATAGAAAAGTTTGCCAATTATTTTGAACCTCCAAAAGAACTCAGAAGAAAGAAGAACCTAAACACCATATTACAAAAGCACAGATGTATGTTGAAAAAGTTCACCCAAATTTCCATTTTACTCTCCCACATGGCTTGAAGTCAGCCTCTCGAGAGTTCTCCAAAAGCCCACCCAGGATTTTTTAAGGCATTTGTCCATTTGTTTTTGCTTAGATGACCTGGTTTCATCTTGAGTGTAAAATATACAGTCTAAAGCATGATATGTGCAAAAGGTGCCATAGTGTTAAAACAGAAATTTTAAAAAACTCGGAATTGGTTGTACCGTTCATTACATTCCAAAGTGTCTAATGCTCACGTGGAAACCAGAATGCTAATTGTGAGAACTGGTCGGATAAAGAGCTTTCTTTGAGCCCAAGGGTGTTCTGTTCCCAAATACTCATTTGTGTTTCCATATATTCTATTCTCTTAAGTTCTTGGTCACAGTGCAGTATCAGCTCTGCGGGGGCTGGCAGCACCCATGAGCGTTCTTTAAACAGTACGGAGGGGGGCATGCTCCTTCCCCAGGCGCCCTGATCGCACCTTCCTGCACTTGTACAGAGACACAGCCAGGATGATGATGGAGATGATGACCACAATCACCACCACGCCAATGACGACTAACGTTTCTGAAAAATAAAAGGTACCAAGTCAATTTAGAGAGAGAGCTCGAAGTCAACTTAATCAGTCGGCAGAACTGAGGGCATAACCCCAAGTTACACCATCCTGCTTTTTCATAATTTGAAATTTTTCCTCCACTCTTTCCACCACAACACATTTTGATTAGGAAAGAATTTGTCAAACCCTAGATGTTTTAGGGCAATTGACAATGGCAAAAAGCATTTAACGGGCCATTTAATAAATTGGATAATGCTGACAGTCTAGAAAAGATACACGCACATGGAAGCGAGAACAGCTGTTAGAAACAAGTGGCTAAAAATAATGCTGAGTTTGGTGGCAATGACTACAGTAGAAGATGAACTGTCAGGGCAAAGAGAGAGAGACAGAATGCCAGCAGGATTCAGGTGAAGAAGAGATGATAACTGGTTGCGGCAAAAGAAGGCTTCTGTGTGGAGGTGGCATTTGAAACGGTTCTCAAAGGACCCATTTCAGCAGATAGAGAAGAGGCGGGGAAGAGCCATCTGGGGATGCACAAAGACAGAGAGGCCGTGAGACCCAAGCTGGCTTTAGGAAGATGGATGTGAGGGCTGTGGGTACAACGGCCCAGAGGGGTGCAGGGCCGGAGGGAAGGAGAGCCCTTCCCTTCTGTCAGCATCAATCAACAGGAGAGAATTTATTTTAAAGTGTTTTTAAATTTTTAAATCTTGTCTTAGCAAGGAGCTTAGGTCATCATTACTAGGCTCCGACTCTTTTGTTCCCTGGAAGGACTCAGAGCACTTCCTCTATAAAGCTGGAGGGACACCCATAGGCTTTCAGCCTCGTGTATGTGTCAGAACACCGACAGCCCTTCCAGTTAGGAACCACTCCTCACGTGGTGTCTGGGCCCCAGCGTGTACATACACGGACACACACATGTTGGCCATGGGCACACACATGCACATGGGTATATCTAATAGGCTCAATCCCTTCCCTTCATGGGTTGGACTTTGTATCCTCGGTGGCAACAGCCCATGATGGGTGCTCACAGTGTCTAGTGGGTGCTGCTGCAGCAGGTCCAGAAGTTGGCCCCAAGGCCCCAAGGTCAGAATTCAAATATGAAAAAATGCCCAGAGAAATCTGTGACTTTATGCTAAATCCTAAACACGTGTGTGTACTCAGCAGAGAGCTTAGCACACGGTAGGTGCTCAAGAAAACACTTCCTAATACAAGGGAACATAGAAACATTTCTAAATGCCTAAAATTGTAAGAGTATCCCCAAAAAGACAAAAACAAAAAAACCAAGGAAGTTTCTCCCTGAACAGAAGTACGTCCTGGTTCTGAGGGTGAGGTGGTCCTCTGAAGGCATCCAAGCCTTCCAGATGAATGACGGACAGAGCCACTCACCTCTGGACACGGCTTTGTGTTGGCTAGTGCACTCAATGGGACTTTCTGGACTCTTCTGGTTAGTTTTCCGTGATGGAATCACTGCTTGAACATTGAAGCAGTAGTCTTCTCCTTTATCCACATCAATCAAAAACTCATTAGTGTTTGTCTTCGCTGTTTTCTGTTAAAAGATAGAGTTCTTAATTCCTCTGGGCTCAGAGTGAATTCTCTCCCCTTTACTAAGTCACTGTGGAAGTAAAAGCCTGCGTGGACACATTTGACATATACAGGATTGGAAGTGACTTGGCTAATCGGCTCCCGCTGTAACTGCTAAGGATGCTTTTTCTAAGACTGAAGATATCCAATTTAGGCCCATCCAAGCCAATTTAGCCCCTTTAAAAGATATTTGCACTAGAGGAAAAAAGGAAGAATGAAGGATTGTTAGACGGAAAACAAATTCTGCCTCTGGAATCCTCAGTAACTAAGTAAAACTTAGAGATGCCTGGTCCAGCCCTTGGCAGAAGCACTTGGGTTATCCAAGGAGGCCTGTCCAGTCACAGGGCAGCTCAAAATCACAGGTGGACCTAGGACAGCTGGTGCTCTCCCCTCCACCCCACCGCCCTCGCAACCACCTTGTTCTGATCTGGTTCAACTGGGAAGGAGGTGGGCTGTAAAATCAAGGATCCGCGATTTAAAACAAGTCATAAAAACGAAGAAGTCTCACCTTTCCTGTACTTGAAGCTTTCCAATAATAAAGCATGTAACTTAAGTTCTTGCCAAAAACATCCCGGAGGCTCAGGTATGTGCCGTTCACTCTGACTAACGTACGCGCATCTTGGACAGTCACATTTAGTTTTGTCCCAACTTGTTCAAAACTCTGAATGGTTGGCTGACTGAGGTTTGCTAAAACACAGAAAATGAGCTTCACTGGAACCAAAGAATTCTATACAAAGGAGAATCCCACTTAGTTATCACACTTAATAACGAGCTAGTCATCCTTCATAAAACACCTGCACAGACTCAACTCCCTGACAGCAGAAAGCTCAGCGCCACCGGAGCTGAGCCCTGAGACATCCTATCGCAGCGCTGTCCGGTGGGAACACAATGGGAGCCACAGAGGGAATTTTAAATTTCCTTGTAGTCACATTAGAAAGTGTAAAAAGGAACAGGTGAAATTAATTTTAATAACATACTTTATTTAATGCAATATAGCTAAAGTATCATTTCAACATGTAATCAATATAAAAACTTTGAGATCTTTTTCGAAATCCAATGCGTATTTTACACTTACAGCATTAGCCGTCTTTCAAGCGCTCAATAGCCACATGTGGTTAGTGGCTACTGTATTAAAGACCACAGTTGCATAAGATTCCATATTTGAGACACAATAAATCAGGGGCTGTGGGAAAGCCCAGGAAATGTTTTTTGGTACCTCAAGGAACTAGTTTTAACCACTGGGTCTCTGCAACTGCTTAATTACCTCATGTGCTTTGGTTAAACAACAGTAAAACAAATCCTAATATCTTAACACGAATTATATGCAAGTATGTGTGGGTATGTGTGAGCACAAGCAAAATAAATACATGAAATATTTTCTACCTCGCATCACAAAGGATTTGAAGTGGTCTACAAAAACCTCACTATAAAAGGAAATCGTGAGGATGCCATCAATGGAGGGAGCATGAGCATCAACGTTGCTGCCGAGTTCCTGGGGTGGCCATGGGTGTGGGGTCTGTACTCTGGCTGAGTGCCGGGAGAGGCACACAGGGGCTCAGGGAAGGCAGCCCGATTCAGCTGGGGTAAGGCTGCCTCCTTTTTCCACCCTCAAAGCAGATACTAGAGGGGGAAAGTGGTTGACTGTCCCTCCCAGTTCTCACCATCCCAGCCTGAGAAACTGTTGTCACAGGGTGGTCAGAAAAGCACCAACGACACAACACTTCCATCCTGACCTTTCATTTGAAGTCTTCCCAAAAGAGCAGCTGACTTCACACTGCCTAACGTGCTGCATGTGTTTATTTGAAACACCTAGTTTAGAACCATGGTCGTGACAAGAACATTTAAATCTCCTACTTGGCAGGAAACCTCTGCATTCCCTTATTAGATGCTAAGGTCAACTTACTGGGACAAAGGCTGGTGAGAAAAGCATTCCATGTTTTCAAAACCAGCAGGAAGGAGCCAGGCTGGGAGCAGCCGGGAAGTGCTGGCACATCACGGGACTCAACTCATAGTCAAGTGATTAAAAAAGGTCAGCAAGCCCATCATGGGCTCAGAAGGAAACTCTCCCCATGGATCTGGGATCATTTGTGGCAAACCCTGAACTGGAATTACTGGTCTGGTGATGGGACAGAAAATTCAGGATGTGTGTGTGTGTGTGTGTATTTTAAATATAAATATATATAAAATCTCCTAAATACACGTGGGGAAATGCTGAAACCCCAGCCTTGGGGGATTTCCTACTCCCAACTCCGCCCGCATCCAGCCAGTTACTGGTAGGGGGTCTGGGGACAAGGTAGTAGTGAAAGTCACTTGATGACATTGTTATCAAGTCCAAAGTTCACGTTCTGTGAACCTCCTATCACATCCAGAATGAGCAATGAGCACTTACCCATTTCTGAGAGAGAAGATGTGTTTATGGATAAATACTTTTTATCTAGTGGCCCTTAAGGGTCACAAGCTCACGAGAATATTCAGAAGCTTATAAGAACAAGAAGGAAAGGTTACTACAAACCGAGCTACTTACTCTCCAGGAAAGGGGTGAACTCCGGGGCGTTTGTGAACGGAGGATCCCCTGCAGAACTGGTGGCGTTTGCCAGGTAGGAAGAGACCCGCGCCATGTACGTCCCTGTCACGTCTTTTACAACCTCATCGGTGAGGTCACACTCTGTGTCTGTTGTGTAGAAGCATTTGCTTTTCCAGTTTCCTAGTCTAGGGCTACAGGAGGAAGGAAGGAAGAGAAACGGAACATGGTGACCTGCATCCAACAGGACAGATGGCTCGCTGGCTGAGTGTTTTGTTACAATAGCATCCATGACCAGTCTCTGCCAGGGCCCTGGTTTGCTGAGCGCTTCAGATGCTCTGTTTTGACAGGTCAGGCAACTGAGGCAAAGTGAGATTGGGGGACCAGCCCAAAGTCACACAGCTGGTCTTGGAGCCAGACAGCAGTTTGACTGCTGGGTCTGCGCTCTTAACCATTTTGTGCAGTATCTTCCTTAAAATGTAGACGATTTGTCAAGGTTACGTGGGAAAAAGAGGAATTTTCCATCAAGACCCGATTATTCATTATAGTCTACTTATTATATTACATCATATTACTTTCTGTTTATTATATCACATTCTCTATTCCATGTGGAACATAATCAATGTAGCAATAATAGAGTCTATATATCTTATATATTACATTCTATCGTGACCATAATTAGTGTGGTTATTTAACACTTATTAAATCTATTATACACCAAGTACTGTACTGGGCCCTTCACCCATTACTTCATTTGATATAATCCTTCCAAGAAGGTACTGGATCTTTTTTAGACATGAGAATACTGAAGCTCAGAGACACTCACTAACTTGGACAAGGTCACACAGCTAACTAGGTGAGACCTGGGTCTGTTCATCTCATTATACTATATGCCTTCCTCACTTTCACAAGATGTGAACACCTCTTATGAAAGGATAATAACACAGGTAGTATCTGTCTAACAAAGTCTGAGAGACTAAAGAACAGATCCTTCTTTTGTAAGACGTCACTGAAGAGGAAATGATTTAAAGAACTTTACACTAAAGATGAAATTGTTCTAAAGGACCAAAACAAATTCATAGATAAATGTCACTGCAACTTGATCCACACACTTTCATCCCACTTTAAGTGACAGCTACACTGCTCTTCCCTTCAGCATCATCGACCGCCAGAGCCCCACCCATCATTCAGGGCCACGCTCCAGTCTCATTGTCCCCAGCAATCCCCAGATCCTCTTGCTTAGAAGTGATCTTGCCCTTCGCAGTCCCCAGCACCAGTATCTCCATTAAGCACCTAACGTGAACACAGTCTGCTTGGTACCAGGGTCCACGGCCTCATGCTCCCTGCCAGGCACAAAGCTTCTAGGTGGCCAGGCCATGCTGAGTTTAGATGGTTTGCATTTACAGGTGGAATTCAGGGGGAAACAAGCTGCCAGATGGATTCAATTGTCTAAATTCATACAGAAGGACCATCAATATGTATTTTTTAAAAATCTGAACTAAACAACTAAGCTAAGAGGGTACGGGTAAACACATTCTTTGTCCTAAAATTCACAAATTAAAATTGATACAGAAATATTTTGGTTTCTTAGATTTCCCTAATTTCATGTGAGAAAAGTAGAGAGGCTGTCTTAATGCCAGAATGATCAAAATGCATTTTAAGAAATTCTATCACTTCTATTTTAAAAAGCAAATGAGAACAGGATGATACTTCTCCATCGCTATGGTAAACAAGTTGTTCCGATAACAGGAGAGAGACTGCTGGGCTCTGTGGCCACATTCCAGCTGAGAAAGCCAGTATTCGGTTCCTCCCAGCTCACACGTGGGAACCACAGTGCTCTATGGCCAAATTCAGTACAAACGCCTGGATCACCAAAATAACAGTGAAGTCGTGTGCACAGCTAACGAGGGTGCTTCTGCAGTAAGTTCTTCTGAACGCTATACCAGCATCAACACTTTAAAAGCCTTCGGCCTTCCTGTAGATATTGCCAAACCTCCTGATTCGGAAATAATAAAAGTCTCAGCTGAATTACTAAAAAATTTCAACATAATCCAGACTCCCCAGTTAGGAATAGGTTGTTTTCTGGAAGCTATGGAAGTTCGGTTTTAGAACTCAGAACATTCCCATGGAACCCACGTTACAGGTGATGGTTCAGTGCTAGGACCTGAGCCAACCTCCCAACCATTACTGAAACCAGTTCCCAAGGGGCTAAATGGAGCCGGAGCTCCCAGGAGGGGCCTCAGGCCCAGAAGTGGGGCCCCGTGGCTGGGGACAGGCTGGTAGGGGGTGTGGAAGAGGAGCAGCAGCTTACGGTGCTTTCTTTAGGGAAGGGAAACCCGGAGGGAAGGAGGCCCACTGAGGAGATGCAGAGGGAATGGCTTCCCTTCCTCCTTCCAGCTTTGGGCCCTCACAATAGTCTGTGGCAGACACACCTGAGGAGGTGATGGCGTGGGGTCCTGGGGGGTCCTGGGTTCCAGAGCCGACTGGCACTCATCATGGGTGCAGTCATGAACAGACTCTCACCCTCCTCTTCTATAAAATGACTGCTGGGGTCCTTTTCACCCAGGAAGCCCATTTACCCAGGGGGAGGTCACAGAAGGGTGTGGGTCTCCGGAGCCCAGGGACTGCTCACAGGTCCTCTAGTGCAGGGGCAAGAGTATGCGGAACCGCCATGTCCACGGGCACCCCCAAGCTGCAGCTCTGCTCTAGGAATCTTTACACATCAGGGACCATGTTCACTTAAATAACAGCAGCCTTGGAAAGTCCAGGAATTTAGAGTTAACAAAGGCTTATGTTTAAAAATCAGTTAAATCATAAATATGTTTCCACATGTTCACCAAACATAAGACTGAATACAAGGAGGGGTCAGCTAGTGGCATAGTGGTTAAGTTCACATGCTCCACTTCAGTGGCCCAGGGTTCGTGGGTTTGGATCCCAGGCATGGACTGACACACTGCTCACCAAGCCATGCTGTGGCAGTGTCCCACATACAAGATAGAGGACGACTGGCACAGATGTTAGCTCAGGGACAATCTTCCTCACAAAAAAAAAAAAAAAAAAGATTGAATACAAGGAGGTAAGCATTTCTCTTAAAATCTTATCTTCACTATCCATAAGGAAAAGTGTCTACTAAGATAAACTTCTGCTGTGTATCACAGGAATTACTTACTAATTCTCAACGAGTGAAATCTGAATTGACAAGTTCAACCATAATCATTGCCTTGGGTTGTGAAATTCCTTTCTCTCTCTCTATACATGCATGCACACACAAATTCTCTTCCCTATTGGTTTGGCATCAAGTTTACTCTGAGAAAGAAGAACATCCACCTAAAAGAGCCCCTCCGTACCTAGGAGTCGTATTCCTAATCCTATAGAAGGCTTGACACAAGCTAAAACAAAACAAAACAGCAAAACACCTTTAATTTTAACCTGGGATATTTCTGTGCCTTTATACAATTAGTGTTAAAATAATTTCCACAGCAGCTGCCCCCTATTTATTACGGTCTCTACCAAGCCTCTGGAACATTTCAGAAACCAACAACTTGCCAAGAATATGGTGAAAACTATCCAGGAAGACAGGTGGCACCGGTCCAACATTTCGATTGAATCTGCTGAGTTGCGGGCTCTTGGGGAGAGCTGTCAATCACATCTGAGGATGAAGGAAGGAGCAGAGCAGCCCTGAGGCTGAGGGTGCAAAGCAAGGAGTATTCCCTTCTGGCTTAGCGAGTAAGGACTCTGACCTCTTTTGAGATCATGTATGCAAGTGAATTTTGATTCACGAGTCCAAAGATTAATGAATCAAACACTGCTTAAGGGCCAGGTATAATGTGAACGCCACCACACCTCTTCGCTAACACGTTAGACCCAGCTCATAGTCTAGACAGCAAAGGAAAAAGACGTGCGTGCTGAGATGAGATTAGTTATCATTGACCCAGAACCACATCTATCAGTGTCCCCTGCTCAGGAAGCTTCACCTCTCCACAGCTTATACTCCACTTATGAACTTTCCCATCGTCTCCAAAAACAATTAGAACGTTCCATCAGTTTGAGGTCTGGAAATGTTGCAGGTTTGACAAAGTATGGCTCTGGCCAACAAGTTACTATGAAAGCCTTCTTCTTTGTCATCTGTTAAATAATCTCATCCATTAATCAGCTTTAAAGACATTTGAATTCAGCACAGTGGAAACATCAAAAACCTTATTTTTTCTTTTTTTGAAGGTAGCTTACCTTATCTCAACAGTGTAGACATGATTGATGGGTTTGGGTTCCCACTCCAAAATTGTCTTGAAATTAGTTGATTTCCAAGTTAAATTATATGCTGCCACTACATCTCTAGTCCCTTTGAATAACAGAGAAAGAGTTTTTATTACATGAACTTCTCAGCACCTGATTGCATGGTGATGCTAGAAAACGCGCCCCCCACATCACCATAAACCTCACTTTTTTTTCTTCCAACCACAAAAAGCTTTACTACTGAATTATCAAGAGAAAAAAAAAATCTTCAAATTTTTTCCAGACCCAGAATTTCCTAGTGGCAAGATCTACCTTATAATCCAAGAAAACAGGCAAGGATCTTGAAATCTTTGTGTGAAATTATTCCTGGAAGAAGCTCTGTGATAACTTGACCTGGAACACAGCCCAGGAGCCATCAGCCTCTCGGGATGTTCAACGTCCAGCTGGGAAGGGTAGGGTTGGAAGGTTCAACTCGCCAGAGCAAGTGGGCCAAGTAGGGTTTTCGGTAAGTTACGGAAAGCGGCAAACCCAAACATGTGAAGGGAGATAGGGCAGCATACAACGAAAAAGCCAAATCTTGACTTTTTCCGTGTTTCATCTAAAATGTCTCTATATTGAAACTTCCATAGATCCCCGGCAGACGTGCACCCTGTCACACCGTCGGATGTACATCAGTTAGGATGCTTTCGCCGATACTCAGCAGGTCAGTCTCTGCTCAGCCCCTCACACCGAGTAGGCATACGGGGCATGCACCATGTGGTGCCCCCTCCAACCCAAGCAACCTTTTGCAACAGGATTGCCCCTAACCCAATCTAAAACAAAGACGATCAAGATAAGACCGAGCGCCGCTTTTTATTAAGGGTAGCGCACATATAATGGAGGATAATATCCAGCCATTGCATGCCGACCCGTGCAGGTGCGGAGCCACGTCCCACCACCTTCAAGGTCGCGGCTTCCTGGGAAGCTCTGGAATCCCTACACTTAAGGCCGAGCGCCAAAAATCCACCTACGCAACAATGGATGCCCGGACCAGCACCTCTAGCAGAAGGGGCGGCGGGGTCCCAGGCGAGAACTACCGACCCTCCAAAACCCGCCTGCGCGCCCAGGCGCCCAGGTTCATTCAAACTGGGCTGGGGCGGCGCGTCCGAGTCCGGCAGGCGCTGGGGGCACCTCTGGGCAGCAGGGCGAGCCGGCTGCCAGCCAGGGCTGTCCCCACTCCTCCGGGCGGCGTTCCTCAGGGCTTCGGGGGCGGATGCCACTCACCTGCGGCTCCAGCCACCTGGAAGAGGACCCAGCCGAGCAGGAGCGTCCGAAGGACGGCGGCCTCGGCCAAGGGCACCCGGGACCCGGCGAGGGTCACCATATCCACGAACTGGCGGTGAGGTCGGAGGACGCCGCTGCGCCCAGGAGGCTGGGTGGACTGGGGAGGTCGGGCTGGAGGCGCCCTTGGGCTACCAGAGAGCGTGTGGGGGCGCAGGGAACCCCGAGTCTGCGGGAGCCCGTGCAGGGCGCGTTATAAAGAGCCCCGCGGCCGCCCCCGCCGCCCCTCCCCACTCCCCGCCCCTCCGGCCACTCGCCGGCGGGTGGGCGGCCCCTGCGATTCCACACCCCTGCCCCGCCTCCTGCTGTGGGAAACTCCAAGACCCGCAAGGGGTGAGTCACGCGTGATTCAACCGCGCCGCCAAGCGCTGAGCTGCGCTGGGGCCCCTGGCGGTTCCAGGTATTGCGGAGAGCCAGGCCTCCTGGCCCCCCTGGCCCTCAGGCTCCAAGAGCCCCCAGCCCCCGGGCCACCCAGGCCCGCGACCCCGACGTCCAGGCTGAGTGGGCAGCAGTTCTGGAGGAAGAAAGAGGGGATGCATTGGAAGGAGCTCTCGAGAATGGAGGAAAGGGATTCTTCTTCCCTTCTGCATGTGGTGATACATGCGCGGCCGGTGGGAGGGGCAGCACCTACAGAGTTTAACAGAAAGTCCTGGCTCCGGCTTCCGCTCCGGCTCCGGCTCCCGCGGGCCCGGGAGGGCGTTTCCCAGCGCTTTGTGCACGGGGGGCCGAGCTCGGAATCTGCAGCCGAGTAACCGCGTGAGGAAGGAGGGCCCGCTCCCAGCTGCGGTTTCATCTTCTACCCCGAAGGCTATGAGACCTGGCCTTCCTACTCACAGGGCCCTTAGCGTGGGTCACATTCTCTAAAGGTGATGCAAAGGCAAGTGTGTCTGCTCACAGGTCCGAAGGTCAGTTAGCCCAGACGCAACCCTGGCCGGCTCTGGTTAGTGACCGAGGAAGAGCTACCCTAAACCTGGCAGTTTGCCGCTGGGAGAATTCCAGCGTGACATCTGCAGTCCTGTGGTTCCCAAAAGAATTGTTCTCACGTTGAAGACGACATTTCTGGGATTGAGTTAGTTCCGTTCGAGTGTAGAGAAACCAAAAATGAAATTAAAAAATATAATTAGACTTTCTTGCCCCTAGTCTTAAGTTTTGGTTTTTCTGAATTATTTTTTGGCTTCCTCTTCTGAGCTTTACTGTAAAATTGTCAGGCGAGAGAATGTTAACTATGATTTGTACACAGTGTTGTTAGAGTTCTTCTGATCATTCGTTCATTATTACTGTCTAGCTGCCTCCAAGACAGACTGGAGAGTTCATGGGAAGACTGCAGTCTTTTCTCTCTCTCCTTCTCTCTCGCTTTTTTCCTAGGGAAATCGGCTTTGCATTTTAGTGCATACTGTGTACACATTTCCATATGACCTCCTGAGCCATAGTGTTACACTCCTTTTAAAAGAAACAAAACTTTGCAAAATTTGTGTTTTCTCCCTTTGCCTGAACTGAAATAGCAGGTTCAGGGTTAGCTCTTGTCCTTCCTTCCTGGAGCTGAAAGGTATGCTTGCTCGTTTCCTCTTTGAGCTCTCTTCCACCATTAAAACCCACAAAGTTTATATCTGCAAAACTAAGTCATGCAATCCTTTTTGCAGTCTCTGGCCTGAGTGGTTTTCCCTATCAGATCTTTAGCCCCACCTGGAATGTGATTCTTCCAACTCTGGAGTTGAAGGCCGCTTGGAGATAATGTGACACTTCCATCGAGTGCTTAGAAGCTCCAAGGAATCCTTGCTTTGTCTCCAGAGTCATTGATTCCATTTGGAGCCACTGACTGTCTTGAAATCATAAAGGGCTTTAAGCAAATGTCAAAATCAGCAATTTCATAAGAAAATATGTTTAACATTAGATTATGGCACAAAAGGTGCTGTAAAGGTTGATAAATTAGATGAAGATTTATTTTGCATATTCACTAAAATGATCAGGTAGGGAAGAAAGGAATTTTTGGGGTATTTGCATAGGTTTTTGAGTAAATATAGAATGACATTCCTCAAGATTTGAAAAATGCTAAAAATTATTACTATTTTCAAGAAGAAGCAGGAGAAAGTTGGCTGTGGTAAATAGCATTTCATAGCAAGGTGGCTTTTTCCTGGTCGATCAGACTGCAGCCGGTTGAGTGTTAGATCAGCTGCTGCTCAGCACCGTTAGAAGTACATTCCTGAAATTTCACTGTTGATATTTATTGCAAAGGAACAAATTGATTGTTAAAATTACTCAACAACCTTACCCACCTTTCCTTACCCCCTTCAGTAAAGTCAAGCTTAGCAGTTACCAAAGTTCCCACCTATATGATACATCTTGGAGACTCTGAGAAGTTTGAAAAGTTCCTAACTATAATGACAATCAGGCTGGCCCAACCGATCCCTTTATGATTAGAGCGTGCAACATCAGAGAGCTGGAGGGGACCTTGCAGACATCCCTTTACAGATGAGGATCCTGCGGCCCGCTGGCCTGAGTGAACCGACTTGCCTAACCTCACGATGTCTGGTCTTGTGACCACAGGAGCTTTCTTTCCCCGACCCTGCTTTCTTCTCCCAATGCATGGAAGTCAGGCTGGGTCATAAGCGGGGCTTCCTTGATAAATTTATTCATCTACAGGCATTCAACAATGCTCTGCAGTTGGTGTAGGAAATACTTGCAGTCTGGGGAACTCACTGTTCTTCAGCAGAAATATCCCACGAGTTATTCCTTAAAACACACATGCACGGAGATGTGGAGAAGAGGTTGGTTACCTTTGCATAACTGGTGATGAAATGTGGTTCGTGAGTCTGAAGATGACTGGGGTGATGTCGCAGCCCTTCCTCTGGGCTTTTCATTTATTCATTTATTTTGGTGAGGAAGATTCGCTCTGAGCTAACATCTATTGCCAATCTTCCTCTTTTTTTGCTTGAGGAAGATTAGCCCTGAGCTAACATCTGTGCCAATCTTCCTCTATTTTGTAAGTGGGACCCCGCCGTAGCATGGCTTGGTAAGCAGTGTTCAGATCTGCGCCTGGGAGCCTAAGAAGAGCACCCAGGTGTGCAAACTTAACCACTGCCTCACTGGGCTGGCCCCTTCCTCTGTGCTTTTATAGTTCTCGCACCAATTTTACTGACTTGATTTTAGCTGTGTGTTTCATGTCTGTCTTCCCCACTAGAACTCCTTGGGAGAATAAGGCCTGGGTTTTTCTTTACATCTTTCAACCCTTCACACTATTACCAGCACATGGTAGGCTTTTAAAATATTTTGAATAAGTGAATCCTTTATAGAACCATGCAGGCTGTCCCATATTTTTATTGGCATCGGAGAGATGAAATTTGTCATTGAAACTTTTCCGTCTAGTGGCCAGACAAGGAGTGTTCCATAATGCTCAGATTGGTAAGAAAATACAGATCCATCCTGGGTTGCTAGGCATCACTTGACAGCGAGCTCCAGTGTCTACATGATCCTTGCTACAGCTAGAAAAGCTAATCAAGGGGGGAGGTAGCTCAAGAGCAGAAAACAAATGTGGAAGTTGGGAACTGGTTAGCATTTTTCTCAAAGACTGAATTCTAGGATGATTCGGAAGATTTTCGGTCATATTATGAGGCTGTTGATAGCTTCCCTTGTAGAGAAAGGCTTAATGACTTTTTGGAAAAAATTATACAAAATCTAAATATCCCCTGCAAAGGGATAGGTTTAGCTTTATGATAGTAGGTGAAACTGAGAGTGATTCATATAAAACTATTATATGCATGTGAAATGGTAAAAAGAGCAACAAAGCCATTTTACCCACAATTCAGGTAGAAGGCAAATTATGGAAAATAGCCAGAGGGAATCAGGAGTGGAACACAGCGTTCTGGGGGGAAAAGTGACTCAGCAGAACTGAAGAAACATCTGGCAGGGAATAGTTAGTCATGGAAAAATTGGCAGTCATGATTATGCATTTTGTGAAAATTATTTTCTAGTGCAACAGTTAACATTTGGGCAGAAAATATGTAGCTGAAAGCCCGTACAATGAAATATATTATCCCGGTCTATCAAAATACTGCTACTAACTGGCTGCAATAGTTTTACAGAAAGTTTCACCGAGTAAGTTATCATATAGCACCAGTATTCTGCAAAGTATAATTTTAGAGAAAAAGCTTCCAGTTCAAACCTTAGATAGGATTGGTATTTTCAGCACACAACTATCTTTATAAACCTAAGGCTTATTAAACTGCCTGTCAACTTTCATTTTGATGAACAGTACACACAGTGTTGACAAAATAGATAAATCATAAATTGTGGATGTGGCTTTAGTAACAAAAATTACTTTAAAATGAAAACCTTTAACATATGTTCTTGTTAACACATAAGATTTATAAGTTTTTATCTGATATCATTTTAAGCACCCATTGATTCTCCATTTCTGTAACTCCTTATACCTGGCATATACACTAAATTTGATGAATAGAAATTTATTCATTCAATAAATGCTTGAAAATCTGCCAGATGCTAAATTCTCTGCTAGGCTCTAGATATACAGAATAAAACAAAAAGAGTCTTTTTCCTGTTAAACATATCATCACTCCTGCTTACTGTCCCAATTTTAAACATTTGAATGATTTTCTGTCAGCATTTTGGAATGGATATAAAGCAATCCTAACAATGTTACGTATTACAAATTTTGTTTCATGCAAATAAAAAAACCCCATAATATTTAGGCATGTCATGGTCAGTCCATCGAACAGTTATCTTTAACTAAGAAAATTAGCTATGGGTTTGAAGTGCATGTACTGTATCAGTTCAAATGTACTGATTAGCTCCCAAAGTTTTGCACTTGGGAAAAAATATGAATCCCAGCATAGAGAGACAGCTCTCTAAAAAGGCAGGAAAAGATAACTAGGTGTGAGATTCCTCAGAAGTATAAAAAAAAATTAGTGAAATAACCAGTTTAAAGGCGTGTGCATAGGGAGCTTTATTCCTTTTTAGATAATTCATCGATTGACATTTTATAAAATAACCGAGTTCTCAAATGCTCTAGAACGTTAGCCTGCGACCATCCGGTCACTTGCTGCCTCTAATGGATGATGCTTCACCCTAGTACACCAATTCCTCTCTTGGACAGAGCTCTCAAGCCAGGAAGTAGTTCCTGAATAAGTGAAGTTCTTTCCACCCTGGAAGCAGGTTTATGATATTGGCCCAGTTGTAATGCATCCTAAACCATTTCCCTTATAGGGTAATCATTACTGTACGGTAGTAACTCATAGTCTGAAATCAACTACAAACAAACCATGAAATGACTCCTGCTCCCTGTCACGAGGGGAATAGCAGGACACATGCTGCAGAGGGAGCTTGTGGTGATGTGTCAGTGACCGGGTGTTCAGAATTTGGTAAACTTCATAGACGGCTACTAAAATGACCACATCAAAAGGATTGGTCTTAAGCCTGGACCTTAATTTTAAGAATAATATTTGTTTCACATCTCCTATCCTTTATAGATTTGTTAACCAAGATCCTGCCTCATACAGGTTAATAAATATTTATTGCGGGATTACCATGTGTAGGGCAATGTACCAGGAACTATGTTATGAGTTTCTTTTCTAAAAAAATCTTGCAAGCTAGTCAGGGAGCCGAGACAAACACATAAGCTTCCATGGGAGAAGGCATTACAGGTCATGTAGGGTATGTTGCCATGTCTCTCCTTAGTCAGTTGAGAGCTCTGTGCCAGCAGACACTGCTTTATCTGTGGCAATATCCCCATGGTGGGTCCTCCATGTCTATAAAGCTTTGTTTAAAGATATAAAAGGTATTTGAGACCTCGGAGGAGAGAGTTCACTTTCCCTTGGGGTGATGAGAGAAGATTCTCTGGAGGAAAGCAGTATCTGACACGGATCACAGAGGAATGGCAGAGAGAGGAAGGGAAGAGCCCAGGGCTGAGCTGGTGTGAGCAGAGCGGGGCCACATGTAAAGGGTGAAGAGAGCAAGGGTCTTGTAGGTGAGAAGTGTGGCTGCAAACAAGAAAGACGGCTCGTGGGCAGCTTTGTGGGTCTGCTAAGTAGTCTGGACTTGATTCAGCAGACGGTACCTTAAGAAGCTTACACTTCTGGTCATGGTACGTCAGAAGGATTGAGTCAGGGGACACATCAAGAAGCTAAGCCGCTACCCCACATGGTGGCCGAGGAATAGAAAGGAAGGACAGCTGTAGGTGACAAAAGCTGCAGGACTTAGTGCCTGATTGGGGCATGGCTGGGGGGGAGGGGGAGCAGGAAGGAGAGACAGCAGTAAGGTCTTGGGGCAGAGAAAGGTGGTACCATAGGTGAAGATACAGCCTGGAAGAGAAGGTTGGTAGCTCACAAATGGTGAATTTTAAATATGTTGAAGTTGAGGAGCCAGTGGGACCTCCAGGAAAAATGTCTAGCATAGTGAGTGGGAAATGGGGCTCCAAGGCTTGGAAAGAGATTGAGGCTAGGGATAGAAATTGGAAGCCATTGGCCTAGAGGTTTGGTCAAAGATGTAAAATTGGACAAGGTGTTCGAAGGAGGGTCGGCAGTGACAGCAAATCCGCTGGCAAGCAACAGCAACCTGCTCAGCCCACCTCAGATTAAATGGGAATGTATAGGTTTACGAATCCGGGAAGCTTATAGCCCAGGGGAAGGGCTACAGAAGCCAGGGCCTCCAAGACTGGGTCTCTCTCTTGCTCTTGCTTGCTCTTCCTCCCAGCTCTCCTTTCAGCTGGTCTTCATTTTTTCTGCAGGTGGACTCCATGTGGTAGGGCCTGGATGCTACCACCAGCCCCAGAACCACATCCTCTCAGCTTCATCACACCAGAGTCTAACCATCAGGCCAGGGAAGGACTTCAGTTGTCCCTAGTTGGGGCACATAGCTGGCTCTGAGTCATGTGCCCAGGCTTGGATCATGCCCACTCCTGGGACCAGGGGGCGAGTCTGCTATTGGAGGGAGCAGGGTGATAAAGTTAGTGGTCCAACAGAAACAATAGCTACCAGTGGGCCCAGACGGAGGCTAGGAGGCAACCCTCTTTTGTGGCTGGAGGAGGAAGATGACCCAGGGAAAAAAACCAGATCAATGTCCAGAGAGATGGGGAGGATAGGATTGGACCCTGACACTAAAGAAGGAGAATTTTAATGAGAAAGAAGAGGTCCTGGAAACTGGAGTGAGCAGAAAACCAATTACATATGGAATTTTGATGGGTACTGAGAGACCCACCTCCTAAAAATGACGTGCCTACCGATCTGGTCAAATTTCTCACTTCTTTGGGTTCAAGTAAGAAAGACCTCTACAGTTGAACAGAGGAGAGACACCTTAGGTTTTATGAGTCATTCAGATCAATTCAACAACCATTTATCAACCCTATGGTCTGTGCTAGGCAAGATGTTAGGTGCTGTGGACACAAAAATGAGGGAGATGTATTCTTGCTCTGAAGATTATGAGATAAAGGACAGCATGAGACGTACAAAGCAGCACAATAAGTGCCATATCCATTAATTCCATAAACGTTTATCGAGCACCTATTATGTGCCTGACCTGTGCTGGGCACAGCAGGGAACCTATCGAGGGGCCCAGGGCTGTTCAAGACACAGCCTTCCACCTGGTCAGCAGCCAGAATCCCGTACTTACCCTCTTACCACAATCATCGCCGTATGTTGAGGTTACTTATGATGTCCTCCTCTTCTGCTGTGGTCTAAGCATCATGAAGGTGGGAATGTGTCTGCCTTCTTCCTTGGCCGAAGGCTGGTACCTCCAACACTTCGACGCTACCATCAAATATTTACCAAATGATTGGACAATGAACTCGACATAGCCCTGACATGATGTCACTTTCTGAGAACCCAGAAAATCTGCAAAATAGCTTTTGTTCTCTCTACGTTGAGCCTTTTTTTCTTCTTAGTTGATGTCATGATGCCAGGGGAGAAGCAAATGGTTGGTTGAAAATATGCAGTGGCTCTCTGTAGCAATCTATTTCTATTATTTGTGACCAGTCAAAATGGCCAGAAAACACTACATTCACATCCTCTAGGTTTTAACTTATTTAATCCTCACAATAGTCCTGTGAGAGGTAGGTAGAATTTTATACGTGTGAGTTAACCCAAAGCCCAGAGAGGTTAAGTAACTTGCCCAAGGTTACACAGCGAGGAAGTGGCAGAGCTGAGACTGAACACAGGTGGTTGAGCTCCAGGATGCACGTCCGTAACTACCACACCTACTGCCTCCCCACAGTGATGGCGCTAAGGCGTGCATTTCCCATTGTGCGCACTGGAACCCCACTTCCCCTTCCTCCCATGTTCCTTGCCTCGTGAAGCTGGCCCTTTCTGAGGTTCCTGGCTTCAAAATAAGGGGAATTTCCAAAAGAAAGCCAAGCCAAAACCAGGCTTAGCGAGAATAAAGGCCTCCTTCTTTGGCTTTGTTTCCAATTCATTTAGTCCTTAATGTTTTTTCACATCGGATTTTTTTCCTCTCCAGAGCAGTAAACAAAGAGACTACCTGAAATGGCTTTTTTTCCCCCTTGACAACATGAAATAAATACTCCTCCACATTTCTGTTATTCATTAAGAAATAGGGGTCAGGATTATAATTAATATATTTGAGTTTGGGTTAGGAGGGCCCCTCTGACCTACTTCTTGCTGATGGCATGATTGAGCTGATGAGTTAGCTTAATCCACAGTCACCTCCACTTGTCTATCAGCCTTCCACATGCCTGTTCTCACCTATTTGTCATCATGACGCAAATGTCCAGGCCCAAGATGGAACTTGGCATAGAGTCACTTACATTTCCACCGGTCTAGGTGTGCGATGATTTCTCCTTACTTGCGAGCCCAGGAGGGATGCTTTGGCAGTTGTGCTCCCTCCTGTGGGATACAGGGACCATCTCCACCACCGGCCTCACTGCTCCATAGCGCACCACTCCCTCAACCTAATCTAGGTTGCCTCATGCCAACCTCTGAGCCTGCCTCTGGAAGCAGGTCAGGTGGCACCAGGCTCTGGGTGTCCAGGGCCTTCCTTAGTTTCACACTCACTACCTTTGTGCCTTTCCTCTGTGGTCATTTCCACATCACCTTTAAAGCAGCTTACAAAATGTTGATGGTGTCTGAGAACCTGATCCCAGAGAAAATCGCCATGGGGGTGCCAGCCCAGTGGGGTAGTGGTTGTTTGTGTGCTCCGCTTTGGTTGGCTGCCTGACCTTCACAGGTTCGGATCCCAGGTGTGGACCTAGCACTGCTCATCAGCCATGCTGTGGCAGCATCCCACATAAAATAGAGGAAGATTGGTACAGAAGTTTGCTCAGGGCCAATCTTCCTCAAGCAAGGAAAGAGGAAGATTGGCAACAGATGTTAGCACAGGGCCAAACTTCCCCACAAAAAAATTAAAAAAAGTAAATAAAATGTTTAAAAATCACCGTGGGCTCTTTTCCTCTCTCCTATCAGAAACATTTTTATTGTTTGGTGATCAGGTGCCAATAATCATTAAGGGCAGCAGCGAGAGAAAACTGTGGGGGCAGCAGGAGATGAGTAAGACAGCGTGTGTGATGTTAGGCAGTTGTGGGGGAGGATGGAGAGAACTCTGTTTTTATAACGGGGAGGAATTTGGAGCTCACTGTATGCACACGAAGCACGAGTTCCCACCAGCTGCCTCTGAATACTCTGAGAGAGTTTGGGGTATTTGAGCACCTTGTTCCCGCGACTAAGGAAGTTGTTTTGCCTGTGTCTACGTTGGGCAGAAAGGTCGTGTGATAACTGGAGATATTAGTCTAGTTCTACCAGGCAATACTCACAGATTCTGATTCCTAGCTGCTGTTTAGCCCAGTGGGGTGGGGATGGTTGCCACCTCATACAATGATGGTAAGGATAACAATAGGCTTGTGGGAAGTGCCACCTCTGCGGTTCTCTTTCACAGAGAATTCCACCCAGTCCAAATTACACAAGAGGGCCGTCCTCGTCTTTGCAGTCTCAGCTCCGCCACGGTGCTCTTTCCTGATGGTATCTGCTGCCTCCCCAGATAATCTCCACTTATCTCTGCCTCCGCTTTGGTCTCTAACCATGGTGTGCTGGCTCTGACATGGGCTCCATGAAATCTGGTCCTGAATCTCTGACATGGAGGCTTTCTGTTGCCAAAGAAATGTGCCTGTTGACTGTTTCCGTCTGTGCCTGCGACCTGTTGGGCAGGGCACTGATTCTTTAAGTCAGCATTTCAAAGAGAAGATTAAGAACAAGTTAAGGCTTTTGTGCCAATAGTTCAGTTAATCCAAGAGGAAAGCACACTGGGTTTCGAGGCCATGTGAAATAGCCAAGATTTAACGTCAAAAGCGATCGTGGCAAAGTGGCACATGCTCCTTCCACCGAGATGGAGAAATTTATACATTGTGTGTGTTTGTGTGCACATGTGTGTAAGTCATTTGATTTCTCAGAGTTTTAGTTTCCCTATCTGTAAAATGGGCACAGTGGATCTCCTGTTTGCTATCTTAAACACTTGGACATGTGGGCCAGGGCTTATTTTCATGGCTGGTATATGCTGGTTGTATGGACTAGTTAACTATTCCCAAATTTATTTTTTAGAGTTTTTAGTTGGCAGTTATCTTCTTCTAAGGATTATAGTTCATAGTTTCTGTGAATATACTTTTGAAACTGACTTGGTTCAAAACATCCAACGTTTCCAGATATAAACTGATTGGGAGAAGATGAAACCAAATTCAGACCCACCATTTCTTTGTCACTGGAATTAACTTAGATATTCGGGGCCATTTACTTGTGGGTCTGCTTATTTTATTTCAGCATGGGCACATGCAACAATTCTGGTTATTGCATTCTTACATTGTCCATTATTACTGAGACCCAGCCATGCAGTTGGTGCACAATGAATTCACAGCTCTCAGGGCAGAATAGCGTAACCAGGTACACCTATAGGGCACATCACACATAGGGGACAAGGTGAGTGATGCCCTAGGGGAAGGCTAGGTGGCAGCTGATTGCATGACAGGCTCTGCACCTGCTCACCAGTGTCCATCCTTTTCCGAGTTCAGCAGGGATGTGCTATTTTGGGAAGGAGAGAACTCAGAGAGTGAGGCACAGAGCAATTTTCTGGGATTCTCCTACTTGCCTGTAAGACCCTCCCAGGCAAACTCATCAGATTCTCCCTTCAACCAAGAGCTCCTGAAGCTTCCATTCTTCAAAGCCTTCTTCATGATACTGGACCGGCAACGGTTACCTCTTTCCTAACACCCACCTCCTAACATTCCCATCTTCTCTAAGCGCTGGTTTAAATCAGTAGGTTTCCCTTTGCCTGAACATTTCATAAGTAATTGTTTTACCAACATTGATGAACATTTCTGTCTAGATCATTATGATTTAGTCACTGATAACATCCTAAACGGTTTGAGTGCTTGCCATGTCCTAGGGTTATCAAATTTATCTCTTGTGAAAATCCTAGGATGCAGGTACCGTAATTTCTTCCTTGAGAAAGCCGAGGCTTATCAAGGCTAAAGTAACTTGCTCAAGATCACACACTGGGGTGCACAGAGCTGAAGCTCCAAGTAGGTTCTTTGGCTCCAGAGAGTGTATATTTGACATTGACCCCGCCTGCGAGCACCCCATCCTGAGCACCCACTATGCGCCAACTCAGAGCTAAGTATGGCAGGGGCACCAGGAAGATCAAGATGTCCCCCCAGCCCTCAACGGGGCGTGGGGAGGTGAAGGCAGAAATATGTGCTGTAATGCAGAAGACACCGGGCCACGTTCATGACCAGGTACAACAGAAAGTGCTGCAGGGGCCCAGGAAGGAGTCGTCAGTTCTGGGTGGGGACCTATTTTATATTATCCCAATCTCACATGGCTAACTTGAATTTTTGGTTATTAAAATGATGGTTCAGACTTTGAAAACTAGGAAAAAGTGCCTTTACACACACACAAAGATTGAATGGATTTGAGTAAAACATCGGAGCATGTTTTCTTATTTGCAGCCCCCGGTGAGTGGTAGGCAGGGCAGATTTGAATGCTCCTCTGTTCATACTTTTGTTTTTCTTGTATTGACTGTTCTCTCCAAGGGTGAGTTCAGCTTCCTTTAACAGCTAACCTCATTCCTTCTCAAGGCATTAACCTTGATATAAAATCTTGCAGTTGACGCTGAGAGCAGGCCCTGAGCTGATCCTGCCCTCCCATACCTGTTCAACTGCTCCAGCTGCTTTAATCAACAAGCTAGCCAAAGAAACAAATGAAAAAGCCACCCAGCCCTCAAGTGCATCTGCAAACAGTTGTTGCATCGATGTTTAATGTTTTGACTTGGTTGCTCTAGCCAAGGACAATAGTGACACTGTTTGGGTCTCATAAACAAAGCCTAAAACCTCACTGAGGTCTCCAGGTGGTGAAAGTAACAAAACCCCTTAGATTAATGTCATGATCAAATTGCTACTCAGGAACAGTTCCGGGCAGACTAACTTTTGTTCAAGACCCATTCTCTAAGAATGAGGCAATAGGAAGCCAGAGCGTGAGGTGGTGAGAAGTTCTGCCCTGGGCCAGTACGGATGAGAGGAGCTTCCTGGGCAATCCCCCTGGGATCCAGGTTGCAAATCAGGGTGGGGGTGGAGGGTGGGGAGGCCCCAGCAGGACGCTAGCAGCCATTATCCTTTCTGGAAAACACAAACAGATGGAGGGCTCTGTACAGATTGCTACCCGACACCCAACATCCTGTGGCTGAGTAGACAGACACTTGGCTAGCTAAGGCCTTGATTAGGCTGACATTTTGAACTTTTCAAGGCAAGCAACTATTCCAAGAAGCAGAGATTCTAGACCAAGGATATCCAGGTTTGGACATGACTTATTGTCTCTCATGAAACAGAAATCTGCACTTTTAAGACACAACAGTACCATCCCAGGAGCGCAGTCATGAGCATAACACTGGTTATCTTGAATAACGAATGGAATCTTCTTTTTCCTTATCAGCCCAGAGGAACACATTTAAAAACAAAAAGATTTGCAGTGTAAGAAATTTGTTTGGGTGTGTTTTTTCCCTAATTATTAATATGTCAAAAAGTAAATTATAGTACTGGACTTGTGAGATTACTTAGGTGTTTTTTCAAAGCATTAACGTAAGAGCAGAAAATCAGACTAAGATGCACTGGTTTCCACTCCCTGCCCCTTCCAGATGAGGAGAGAAGGGCTGTGAGGGCTCCCAGGCCCCTGGCACTGTTAGAACTTCCTCAGGCTCCTGCAGAGCCTCACAGGGGCCTGTCTCATGTCTGTCTGGCTGTTCCAGGCAGTTTACTCAGCTGCTAGCCTGCCTGAACTTCTTTGTTTTTAGGCATTTTTCTTTTAATTGAGACTTTATTTTTTTTAAGCAGTTTTAGGTTCATAGTAAAACTGAGCGGAAGGTACAAAGATTTCCCACATGCCCCCTGCCCCCACGCATGCATAACCTTCCTCATCATCAACATCCTCCGCCACAGTGGGACATTTCTTACAATAGATGAAGCCACAATGACACATCATTTTCACCCCAAATCCATAGTTTACATTTGAGGTTCATTCTTGACATACATTCTAAGGGTTTGGGCAAATGTATAAGAACCTGTATCCATGGTGATAGTATCAGACATAGAATTTCACTTCCCTAGGAATACTCTGGGTCCACCTAGTCACAAAAATATGAAGCGCTTCTTGAATTTGCATGTTATCCTTGCCCAGGGCTGCTCTAATCTTCTCTGTATTGCTCTAATTTTAGTGTATGTGCTGCCGAAGAGAGGGCTGAACTTCTTTTTTATGACGCAAAATCAAAAAGGCTTTCCCTGTTGAAACTCAGCCCTTGGACGTAGTGAGTGGAGGGCTGCAGAGCTGGCATGGGTCGGCTTTGGTCACCCTGACCAGTGTCATCACCACTTTGCCCTGGTGGGGAGACCACTCTCCAACCTCTGCAGGAACCTGTGGAGGACTCAGGTCTCTGGCAGCAATGTCCGGATTTGAAATTGCATGGATTTCCCATTCCTACCACGCCGAGGGCAGGGGCAATGCTTTTTAAGAAAATGTTCATCACCGGAGCTCCAGTTCCAGGCATAGAATTGGCACCCAATAAAAGTTTGTGAGTTGAACTGTATAAACTAGAAGGCAGGGGAAAATATCATTGTTCTTTATAGTGATATCTCTATTAAGGAAGCAGATATGTCCCTATCGCATGTATAACTGCCATACATGTGTCTACCAGAGCTAGGAATGAGAGAAGTAGGGGTTGAGGGTTCCCTCTGACCATGCCCTGCCAGGAAACTCCCTCTCCTCCAGGTAGGGCGGACTCTATTGCTCTGGTTCACACAAAGGGTTGGGTGTTCTTATTATTTGTCTGTTTTTTCTTTTCAGTGCTTGGATTAGTGCCTGTCACATTATAGGGGTTCAAGGAATTTTGGTGGAATGAATGAGTAAATGATGGTTACTCACCCCAGTGATGGGAAGGCCTTGCATAACTTCAGCCTGGGCAGTGCCCTCCGCAATCCTGGACTTAGATGCATGGGGGTCCAGATGTACAGCCTTCCACCCTCTGCCAGAGCTGGGGCTGACTCTGTCCTCATTTAACTGCCCCTTCCCAGTCAGTTGTTGCTTTCAATTTCCATTCTTCTACACCAGCTTCATTATAATGAGTTGTGTCTACAAGCAGTTAGTCCTGTGCTGCCTCTAAATCTTCTATTTTGCAAACCAAGCAGGCATTATTCTTTAGTACTTCCTTGGAGTTCATGCATCCTGGATTTTAGCCCGTTCTTATAGCTTTCTTCCTCACATACCTAAAAATGCTTTAATATATTTGATAATCACTTTTGCCAGGAGTGAGCAGAAGAGAGTCCTTGCATGCTACCTACTCCTCTTTAAGCAGCGGCCTACAGTAATACTTTCAATCTCTCTTTTCCCCACCCCATCCCACCCATCGCCATATTTGCAGCCTATTCACTACCACATTGTTGATTTCTGCATAGTGCATATTTGCCCTGAGATTTAAGATTGATCCTTCTCTGTCCAGCCCTGTATGGTAGGGAAATACATTTCCCAGGCTCCCTTGCCCTCTAGCTTCTAAGTTCAGTCATTGAGAGAAAATGGGAAAAGACTGGAGGGGGAGAGGAAGGGAGAAGCCAGGGTATTTCTCTCTATCCCAGCCCCCACTTTTGTCAGCGTGGCTGCTGTTGGCTGGACCACTTCCATGGACCCAGCAGGGCAGTCCTACCCCTGGGATCTGGTAGCACCACTGTTCTCTCTCCATCCCTGGGGATAGTAGCAGATGTCTGTTCTTGTTCCTCTTGAGATCGCCTCCCCGTGTCCTCTCTTTGGTTTCTCAGCTCTTCCATTACCTTTGTAATCAATTCCCTGTATCAAATCCACCCTGTTTGAGAAACCTAAAGTGATTTCTGGTTTCTGACTAGACTGTAATACATGCAGCATGCAAATACTACTGCTGACTTCGCATGAGCTTCTCACTTTCCCTCTGACTGCCCTTTGGAATGCAGCACCTACCTCACAAGATACTGTCATAATCGGTTGTTTGTGGAAGATCTCTGAAATCCTGGAAAGGCTGGTAAGTTATAAGTAAGAGCAATATGTCATTAATTAGCATTCATCCAAATACTCTCTGCGTAATAAAGAATGTTTCATTTCTCTTCCTTTTGGAGCAGCCGTTTGCAAGGTCCCTGGTTGAAGAGACTGGAGCCCTCCCTTGGCAATGGTTTTGCTTGCCTTCTAAGCCTAGAGGCACCTGTGGTAGCTGACTTGTCGCTCACTCAGAGCTGGGCCATCTTGTACTTAGGCCAAAGCCGTTTGTCCCCTCAGCTTTGGATGCCAATGTACACCCAAAGCTAAATTCAGGCTAGATATCCCAAGGGATCTGGCGGGTGACTCGGGGCTGCAGGTTTGGGTTGATGAAGCTTATTGGGAAAAGCATGGCCTTTGGGACCAGATATACCTGGGTTTGAATCCCAGCTTTGCATCTCCTGAGCTGTGTAAAGTTGGGGGAAATTATTTTAACTCGTTTAAAGTTCCATGTTTTTCTAATGTCAAATGGAGAGAAGAAAGCTTTACACCAGGCTTTACATCAGGTGGTTGCCTCAGAGAAAAAGCCCTGCCTTGGGGCCGCAGCCAGCATTTACACATCTCAGACTTGGCTACTGAGAGCCGACTCTTCTCCCTTCCCATCACCACAGTACGGAAGGGAACTCCTGTTCCGTCGGGTATTGAGAACACAAAGCCTGCTCCCATCCGTTTCCGGATGTGCTCAGAAGTGACCCAGAACCTAAGACATTTCAAGGAAGACAATAACTCTGTTTCTACTAAAATGTCACCCTCCTTAATTTATTTCTTTCCTGTGTTTATTCATCTTGCCCATTTATTAAACCCTTGTTTGATTGCTTAGTCTTTGCAAGTAGGATGTAAAAAGGAAGAGATCAGGAATATTTAATTTTGCATAGCGCTGAGCTCTGACCTGGTAAACGTTGGATGATGTTGATAGGAATGTCCTGAATGTCCAACCTTGAGGGACTAGACAGGTGTTTTCCTTTATGAGAGGTGGTCTAAGTTCTGGTTTGACCAAACTCTAAGCTGGAGGGCATCATATCAGGGTTATGCTTTTGTTTTAAAATCCCTTGAAAGGAACTGATTTCTGCTATTTAGGGGAGTGGACAAACTATACCATTACATTAATTTTACTTAATAGCTGTTAAATGTCTTTTGCCATTGCTTTCGCTACTTAAAAGGGAAAATGTAGGCCAGTCAACTCACATTATGCTCTTCTAAAAGGCAGACCCCAGTAGATAGATGGGAAAGGTGGAGGAAGAATCCTACACCTCAGACCATGCTACCCAGTGCCGATTTGCCTAGATTTGAAAAGCTGGGTTAGGAAAGACTCTGGAGCACAGCTCTATCTCGCAGAGCTGAGGACTGAGATGTCCTAAGAATAGGAAGCACAGAGCTTCAAACCTCCTTAAAGAAGGACCTTGCCACCGGAGGTGGCCAAGGGACTCGGACAGCTGAAAGGAACCTTTCCCTTCTTGTCCTTTGAGAAAGGGAGGTGGGGAGATGGGCCATGGGCGTGAGGAGTTGCTGGTTGGTTGGAATGCAAATTGATAAACAGCAGCAGAGACAAAGTCCTTCTGACTCTGAAACCATAGTTCAACAAGCAGCAGCTGTGTGGGGACTGGTCCTAAAGTAGCTCCTAATGAGAATGCAATGAGGGCCCCAGTAAAATCACCCTGATTTAGAAGTAACGTGATTAGTATGCTTAGCTTAGCTTTTCAGCTTTCTTCCCTGGTCTGTAGGTTTCCAAATTAGCCCTATAGGACATGCGAGGTCACCTGTTTATGCTCATGGGCCTGTGCGCACAATGGAAATCAACCACACATCATTCAGTTGAGACTTTTTAGTTCTGCGATCTGTCCATCAAGCGCTCTCGGTTCACCTACCCTACTCTATCGTCACTTAAAAAATTTTAAATAACACTACCCCTTTCCAAAATACTGCATAATTTTTAAAAATTATGTCTATTAAGAGATGTATTAAGAGACAATCGTCTCTTCCCTACCCACCCTCCTAGACTGTGATTTCCGTGAGAAGAGCTATCTCTGTGTGTTCTGTCACTGATGTATGTCCCCAGCACTTAGAACAGGGCTTGAAAGACAGCAGATGCTCAAGAAATATTTGTTGCATGCATGAATGCATAAAGCACAATCCTGGCTTGACATTTTTATACATCAAAAGGTTGACAATAGAGACTTATGTTTGAAGATTTCAAGAGCTGTCTTTGGGTAAATAAAAAGGCAGTTCTGTGCCTTTCTCTGTCAACACCTATAATCTACACAGCTGTCCAAAGTGTGGAGCTGTGGGCAGCTGATTGGACTTGCAGGTTCCAGGTTGGTCATCTCAGCCAGATTGAAATGTGATTCTTTGTGTTCACTGCTGAAGATTATACTGGAAGGCAGTAGAATTCAGTCACACAGCAGGGTCTCAATAGGAGGCATACACTAATGAATCTAGTGAACTTAGATGAACCTAGTGACTTTGTCACTTGAGTAAATCTTCTAGACTCAGAGACACAATTCATTTACGTGCTTTATTATGTGAATGAACTTTGTGCTTAAAAACGCACAATAGACCACCATCTCCAACCACAAATCCAATTAACTTACCAGGCTGGAAAAATATATCTCTTAGGCAGACTAGATAATCAAACCAAGCTCACTAGCATGGTCTCGCCTATTGAAAAGCTGCACAGGAAGCCAAATTATCAGCTTAGTGACACTGGCTTCAGAACCAGGGAACACAGTTCCAGGACTCAGATGTTGGAAGGCCGAGGTTCTGACAACTGGTTGTCTCCTTCTCCACAGCTGGGACCCCTATGCCCTCACGGGCCTCCAGTCCACCTCCATCAGGGCACACTCTCATCTCTTGGGACAGTGCAAATGGGCACAGCTAAAGTTTGTTTCCGAAACTCCCCCTTTTCTGTGCTTCCATGGGTGATTACCACATTCCTCTGTGAAATATGTTCCCACTTCGGTCAAGTCTTGCTCTGGCCTGGGGATCGTTCTGCCTCACTGACTCTTAGATTAGAACTTCATGTAGACCAGAAGTATTTCTTGAGTATTTCTTGAGTGTTCACTCCAAGCTAACCAATGCAAATGGCTCTTCTCTGACCCATTGGTGATTTGTCTTTAGACTTTAACTCTTCAGAGTGTATCCATTTCTCTTTTCCAAATGGTTGGGATACCCTCCTACCTCCCCTATTCACTGCCTTTGCCTTTCAAGAAACCTCCAAATACTGACGGATTTGCTCTCCTGAGCAGCCTCTCCCATGGAGAGCAGAGCAAGTGACTCTCCGACCCAAACGTTCTGATCCCTGACGATTTGTTTCTTCCTATAAATTGGTAAGTTGTCTTTTGAGTGTGTATGGCCACCTCTAATGAACTCGAACACTTCAACTTGCTCCTCTAGAGCTTGATCATTCTTGGGAGATGAGACATTGGAAAGTCACCGGAGGACTGAGAGAAATGCAGCCTGAGGTAAGTTCACGTTAGTGCCGTCTCTCTGAGGACTCCCCACCCCATTACTGCACCATAGGGTCACTTGTGTACATCTATCCGCCTTTAGAACCTCTCGATCCCTGTCCAGGGGATCCACCCTGTAGCTTTCAGTCCCCTGCCTGGGTTTGGATCTTGATAATTCTGGGTTTGGGGCCCAATCCATAATGTGGATGCCTTTGCAAGATGAAAATATGGATTAGCAAGAGGCCACACAGAATGACCCAGAAAAATCTGTCCTCCTGGAAAGTCGCTGTTCTTGTACCAGCTCTTGAGAAATGTGTGACTAAGATCTCAACCAGGAAACTTATCAAGTTCATGTTCTGAACCTCTGAAGCTGAGGAGCCCAGGCCAAGGGCCCTCCAAGGGCAATGCCAGCATGGAAGAGCCATTTTACCATCTTCACAACAATGGGACCGCTGAGAAACGTTCAGAACAAAGCGTTGATGATGCAGAATGGCTGACGTGCTCACCACATTAAAGTAAATTCAATTACTTTAGTTATACCTGCATGACCTAGTTTACTAAAACCAGAAAACGGACAGTACACTTTAAAGAAGTTTTCAGCAAGTCTTGAAATAACAAAGGATTTCTTTGTGTAGTTCAGTTTATAATACCAATGCTATTTAGTAGAAATATAATGTGAGCCACAAGTGTGAGCCACATATGTGATTTAAAATTTTCTAGTAACCACATCTTAAAATGTAAAAAGTAAAAGAATTTTCCTATCTACTTTTGTCATGTTCTAGTAAAATATAAGATATGGGGGAAAAAAAGTGGAAAGAAATAGGTGAACAAATTTTAAGAGTGTATTTTTCCAGTCCTGAGAAGGACTTGCCTCTTCCCTGTTGTAGAGATAAACCTTTGGCCCAATGCCTGGATACCAGGAGCCCTGAGGCAAGTCCTGTTTACATCTATCACTGACAGCAGGGGGTATTCAGGACTGAACCCTGTCACAAGGAACGATCAGCGGGCCTTGGGGACAAGACGTAGCAGAAGAAAAAAGAAGAACCTGTAACCAAAGCCTTTGACTTCATTTGGAAAATGTGGTCTTAAAAGTGAGATGACGTTCCTTTGTCGTTACTTTGCCAAATTAACTCCTTTGAGAAGAGAAGCCACGTTACTCTTTTTATTGCAAATGGTCTATAGGTTGCTCTATCAATGGTCGCATAAGACAAACTGGATCTTGACAATCTGAGAACAGCTTGCCAACAGCCTGGCATTCACGACCTTCCTTTCGATACTAGCTGAAGCGTTTACAAAGCACATGTTGTGTGACTAACAGGGTGTTGGACCTTGTAATGTATCAAGAAATACAAGCCCTTGTTGTTTTACTGAACTTAGGCTTTTGCTAGAAAATGATGGGACATCTAATAAAACACTAACTTATGTGACATACACGTTATATGTAATGAAGATTCTAAGGAGAGAAAAAGAAATGAGTGTGTTTTACTTAACCTAATATCTCCAGAACATTATCATTTCAGTATATAATCAGTGTAAAATTATTAATGAGATATTTCACATTCTGGTTTGTGAGGGGTTTTTTGGTACCAAGTCTTTGAAACTCAGTGTAATTTACACTTACAGAACACCTCAGTTCGGACCAGCTGCATTTCAAGTTCTCAACAGCCATGTGTGGCTAGTGGCTACTCTTCTGGACAGCACAGCCATAAGACTATTCCATAGAATAAACATTCCGATTAACTGAAATGCTACTGTTTTGAATTCTGACTCAAGAACTTCATTATTAACTCAGCCTGACCTGGGCTTCCCGGTAAGGATGATGAAGCTCATGTTAATAACGTGCTAATGATCTGCCACTCTCATCTCCTCCCTAGTTTCCACCCTACTTTGCACACACAAGCCAGAGTGATCCCTATCAAGTCTCAGTTAGATACTGTCACTTCTCCCCTAAAACCTTCCCACGGCTTCCCATCCCAGTCCTTTCATGGCCTAAAGGCCCCACTCAATCTAGCCCCTGCCTATATCTCTGGTCTCATTTCCTACCCTTCTCCCTCGTTTGCTCAGCCACACAGCTTTTTTGCTGTTGCTTAACCGTGCCAACCACACTCCTGTCCCAGGGACTTTGCACTTGCTTCTCCCCTTCTGCCTGGAACCCCCTCCCCTAAATTTTCCTAGAGTTTTACCCTGCATGTCCTGCGCAAATGTCGCTTATCAGAGCGGCCTTCCTTGACGGCTCTGTACAATAGCCCTTCAAGAGGGTTTCTCTTAGGGCCTCTTCTCACCCTACACCCTCACCCTCTTATTACCTTCTTTATTGCTTTTCATAGTACTTGCTTGTTTATAAGTTTATTTTCGGTCTCCCTCAGCCCCGCCCCACTAGAATGTGAGCTTTGTGAGGGCAGGGACTTCCTCCGTTTCATTTGGAGGCACTGAAGACCTGGCAGCAATAGCACCTGGCAAATAGCAGGTGCTCAAGAAATATCGGTGAATGAATACAGGAAGGGATCCCATCTCGGAGAGAAATGCTTATGGGCATCACAGGCTCTCATACCATGGAGAGATTTATACCGCAGGTCCTTATTTGAGTTTAGTCTTAGAGCCAAGCGAGTGGTGCCCTCAGTGGTAAACAACTTGTCTGAACAGAAATGCGCCAGCCACTCATTCAGGCCACTCAGCCCCTCTTGGGGGTCTCTCTCCTGACTCCCTTATTTCTCTTCTTACCATTTCTCACCTGTTGGAGGCCCAGACCAGGCACACGTCGTTGTTATTCGTTGAATCATAAATTGGTAGTTGTCCAACAACCCCAAACGTTTTTTGGTGAGCAGCTCCTGCTCCTAGTCCCCCTGACTGCTTAAAACCAGATCAAAATCTCCGTCAAAGTGGTCATGTCCCATGACTGTCTGATTGTCCTTCTTTATATTAGTATTTACACATTCCCTTCAGGAACGCAGGGAGGGACGCTCCACATTTGTTTTTTAGGTCACTGGAATTCACAGTAATCTCCCTGTCTGGGATGGGCAAGCACAGACACAGCCAGGAGCGGCCGCTTCATGCCTCTCGTGCTCCTGCTTCTGAAAAGATTGGGGGAACTGCTTCAGAATGATCCATTTAACTGGACTCATAAGCACCCTCCTGCATTACCTGTACCACCTCTGTGAGGTTGTGAAGTGTCTGCCCTAATTAATCTACACTCTCCCATGGTCCCCCACAGGACCTACAGCACAAAGCTGTGAGGTTGCTGATCAGGGGTAGAATGAGGCCTGTGGCCATGGAACTGACATGGTCACCAGGCTCCAACCTGAATGTCCCCCAGATATTCCAGAGACCCCATGTCTATCCAGGTGAACTGTATGACCTAAAGGCTTCTGACGTGTGGCTGTGGGGTTGCAGCAATGTGAGGCCACAGAAGTCTGCGGGCTTGGAACTCTTCAGAGGGGTCAACGTCAGTTTCAGAGGTCCCTACTCTGCCGTTTTTGCTGACGTCCCTCCACAGATTTTCAATGGTCTTTGTCCTTTCCCTAATGTAAACTATTATTTTCCAAACAACGCCTGTCTAAAGCCCCAAATTGTTTAGATTTCTTGAGAACTTAAAGTTCTCAAGAAGAGAGTTTTCTAAAGGCAAATGTTTGTTCTTATAAAACCACCAAGAAAGCAAGTATGTACAAACAGATAAGCCACAGGAAAAAGATAAATTGTTCATGGCTGTCTACAACTTTCATCCTATTTATGTCTTTTGCTTGTTTGTTTCAGCATGGACCTGTTAACCTGAAAATACCCGGTTGCGATCTGAATGTGTGTGTCAGCTCCTGTCTCCTCCCTGGGCCCAGGCGAGCCCAGCGCAGACTGAGGCTGAGGTAGAATTGGTCTGCAGCAGCCCCCTCACCGTTGGCCATCAGTGTTGTGTCAGTCAGCTTGGGCTGCCATGACAAAATGCCACAGACGAGGTGGCTTAAACAACAGAAGTTTATTTTCTCACTGTGCTGGAGGCCGGAAGTTCAAGATCAACTGCTGGCAGTCTTGGTTTCTCCTGAGACTTCTCTCCTTGGCTTGCAGATGACCGTCTTCTTGCTGTCCCCACGTGGTCTTTCCTCTGTGCACACATGCTCCTGTTGCACCTTCTTATGAGGACATCTGCCCTACCGGATTAGGGTCCCACTCTAAGGCTCGTTTAAGCTTAATTTCCTCCTTAAGGGTCCTGTCTCCAAATACAGTCACATTGGGGGTTAGGGCTTCAACAAATTAATCTGGGAGGGACACAGTTCAGTCCACAGAAAGTGTCTAACACACAGGGAATAGGTCCTCCATAAGCACTTTCTTTGGTGATACGCATCCTCTTTTGCCCTTTGCCCTTTATGTTTCTGCACCACCCTTTACCCCTCTGCAATCACCTCCTAAACTAAGCACTATGGCTTCTGGTCTATCGAGGGAGCAGCACTGTGTGCAGCTGCAGACTAGGAATCTCAGTGCCAGAGTTCAGCTGTGCTCTGGTCCCAAACATCTATGTGACCTTGGGCAAGTCAGTTAATTCACCAATTTTCTCCAGCTCTTGCATTCTTGGATGCTTTGATTGAATTCTCTTTTTCTCCTCTCCACCCTTTAGGTCTTGGATTTGTCACCAACCCCTACTACTGAAATATTCTTGCTTCAGCCTCTGTGTGGCGTGGCTAGGAGTCAACCAGCAAAATACATCCCAGTCAACGTACTAATTAACTAGCTCTGAGTGGTCTACTTCTCTGCCCGGGGAATGTGTGTATTTCCAGAGAAGCTGTCTCTGCTGTTGCTGCTCAGGCAAGAGTGGTATTGGCATTGATGGGTAATAGAGTCCAGGAAGGAAGGCAAGAGGAAGTGCAGGGGAGGGCTGCTGGGGAGGTAACTAGCGGTAGACCAGAAGCTGGGCTTCCCTCATGTGTACTTACTCAACCAGCTTTCACTGAGAATCTGCCTTGCTGCAAGCACTGTGCAAAGTGTTGGGCCGGAGCTCACGTCAGGGGCCTCTCTGACCATGGGATTGGACTTCGCATCGGATGGGACCGTAGGATGAACTATAAGGTTATAGAAAAAAAACACGGCCTGAGTTTAAGTTTTGGATTTGTTGTTTATTTCTTTTTGACCATAGGCAAGCCCCTTAGCTCTTCAGAGTCTCAGTTATTCCATTTGAAAAAGAAGGGATGGAGCAGGTGTTCTATGTGGTTAGTTCTACCACTTTGGCTCTACCTTATAGAATTCTGTTTAACTGGAGTAGCATGTGGATGCTACCTAAAGAAAAATCTGTATTTTCGAGCTTGCTTTTAGCATAGGGCTGCTCTAACTGGAAGATGGGAGGAGAGAGGTACATGCACGTTGGGGGAGAAATTAACTCTACAGTTCACTCAGCAAACTTGGAAATGGACCTTTAAAGGAACAAAATATTTACATTCTTTTACCATCCTTTGATGGTGTTATTCATGAATACCTCACATATGGTAGGAAAGAATTCACTTTAGTAGTTTAGACAAAGAGGGGTCCATTGTGGGTTATGAGTCCTAAGGAGAAAGACCAGGTGTTCATAGTAAATGCAAGCTCCAGAGGTAAAACTACCATTTACCCAGTGTCACAGGTGCAACAGTCACCTGTTGATGTGTTTTGATGTAGGAACCACCTTTTGTTAACTTCTCTCTTCCTACTACCTAGCAGCGCAGGGTAGACATTCAGTGGACGTAATAGTCCTTGTTCTCCAAATGGAATTCTCTTCATGTCACCTGCCGAAACCACGTTTCAGTACTGACATTGTCCCCTAAGTTGTTGGAGGACTAGATTTCATTATTTCTAACGAGTTCAGTGGAAGTTGTCCGCCCCTTCGGAGTTAGCATGTTAAGCCTTTGACTCTCCAGGGCTGGTGGTGCCTGTGTTCAGGTTAACTTGGCCGGTGTCAGTCTTCATGGGCAGCTTATGTGTACAAGAGAGGCGGTAGATAACAGTGGTGGAGGGTCGGGCTGCAGGCCCAAGCTGGATTCCAGCTCCGGCTCTGCCTCTCACAACCTTGTAATGTCGGCAAGGTGTTAACCTCCCTAAGCCCAGTTTCCCCATCTGCAAAATGGGGGGAATACTGTTACTTACCTCTCAGAGTCATTGTGAAGATGAATTTTTTAAGTGCCTTAAAGTACACAGTGACTGGCACAAAAGTTAAGAGCACAGAAAATGTTAGCTTGAAGAACTGAGAGTCATGGGCAGGAAGGAGAATGTTCTGTTTTCTTTTACTTTTTCAGGATCCACACAGCACACAATAATTACAATAAAAATTATTATATTTTTTATAATTGGTTTTAATACTATGATTATTTTTATAATTATTTTAAATATTTCTGTTAAGTTTTTGTACTTTAAACCTCTATGTTGACTTTATCAGGAGACTGGGATGCTTGTGACCTATGGCACGGGTACTTGCTCAACCTAAGAGGTCATTAATTTATCTTCCAGATGTCCTTTTAGAAGAGTTCCATAAACCACCACCTCATATCATTGTAATGCTTACAAAATTAGGGAAAAAAACAAGGCAAAAGATGGCTGCAAAGAGAGTCAGGAAAAAGAAAAAAATCATTAAAAGCCTTAATTCTTTCAAAAAATGTTTGCAGTCATCTCAAACATTTGTGTTTATAAACAGTAGCATATTCTTTATGAAATAATACTTGAAATCTTTGAGGATATACATATAAAGCCTTGCCAAGAAATGAAACATAAATAAGTTCTTGATATTGATATAAATATTTTAAGTCTTTCCAAACCAATGAATCTAAACACTACACTGCCTTGTATTTTCCCACCCTCCCTCCTTCCAATGAGCACTCTTATTTTCTTTAGATCTCAGAGGCACTTGAATTTATGTACTGCCGATCAGAGAATAAAATTTCAAGAGTTTCCACTCAAAAGTATTTAGGGATATTTTAAATCATTGCACCCACATAAACAGAGGCTGGCTGGAAATAAGCTAGCTTCGCCTCAAGTTTTTGGAAACTTAGTGAGCAGTTAGTATTTTAGAATCCCAAAAGAGATCTTAAGCAGGGTAATTGAGTTCTTGTGAAGAAAGAAATACATGAGTTATATGCTAGAGAGGGTGTTCGCCATAGCTATATCAAAAATAAGGAGGTAAATCTACCAGGACCTGGTTAAGCCTCATTGGATCAAATGTGCAGCTCATGGTCTGTCTTTTTCTTGAAGTCGTGGGGGTGGGAAACGGCCGGATCCCCACACACATTGAGACGCTAGAGACTACAGTCACAGTAACCTGGGTTGAGTGAGGTATCCTAGCTGCTCTGAGATATTTACAGAGGATTTTCCAGTAACCAGAGGCTTCTCTGACGTTTACACATATGTGCAACTTCCTGTGTCCACTCCCTGTAGACCGGAGACTCCCCCTGGTCTTCTGGGACTCCAAAGCCCACTCTTCTTGCAGCGGCGACGCTCTCATAGGCATAACTCACCATTTTTCCTGAGTCTGGGGGTGAGATGACAAAGCAGGACCGAACAAAGCTAGAGGTCTGAGCAGGGGAAATGGTCCCTCTATTTTCTTTCTCTCTGTGGGCATAAAAAATCCCCTGAGTGTCTCTCTCAAATATGCGACTGTTTTTTAAAACTTCCCAAACCAGACAGTAAACTTTGGGCCACAGCATATGGCCCATCAGTACTAGAGCGAACACTCTGGGGCGTATTCACCACAGTGGAATGCATTACAGCAGTTGGAAGGAACATCCCGCTGCTAGGCCAACAATATGGGTGACTGTCGTAAGTATGATGCTGGGCGAAGGAAACAGACACTAAAGGGTGCACACTATATGCTTCCTCGTGTATAAAACCCAGAAACAGGCAAACTAATCAGGTAGGAATTGCCCTTTGGGGAAGGGAGTATAAGTGGGTCTTCTGGGGTGTTGGTGAGATTCTGTTTTTTTTGTTCTGTGTACACAGCTATGTTCTTTGTAAAAATTCATCAATCTGTACATGAATAATATATACCCTTTCTGAATGTTTCACTTAACTAAAAAGCTCTTTTAAAAAAGTGATAAACAGAAAGCAGGTGAATCTCAATCCACTGACCCAAGTCTGTTCTGATTTCTTTCCAATGCCCCTCACTTACGCTTTGATTCTCTCTGCATTTACAATCTACGTTGGGAGAAAGCCCTGTAAGACTGGTCAGAATTTTCCACGATGGCACCCTTGGTGGACACAATCATGTGTCTGTGATTTGGGAGGCCTAATGATTTACGGCTTCCATATCAGAGATTTTGGACGCTGTTGACAGACAAGTTAGTATGAACTTTTCGAGGTACTCTTGCTGGGGTCATGTGAGCTGTCAGCTAAACTATTTCTTTGTTCACAGAGATTTCAGGAAGATACAGGTTCTTTTATGGGAAGATTGCAGTGGTGTTTCTCCAGCTGGTATGGGTTTTGTGTCCTTTACTTAGTGATGTGAGATTTCTTACAGAGTTGCCTAATCTTAGAAGGTGACGGGAATAACTCGGATGCGAGGAAGCTGGAAGACAGGCCACAAAAAGACCTTTTGAGCCCGGAAATGCTAGCCCTTCTTTAAGTGTTCCATTTGTTCTTAATTTTATGCTCAGTGGTTGATGATCAAAGTTTTCCCTTGGATTTTTAATAAGCAAGAAAGGAAAGCAAATAAATGGATTCACCTTGATATTTGTTCAAGGAAAGAAAAAAATTGGTTTTAAAAGTTGTTTTATGCTAGTGATGATGTGGGCATATGGGCATAGCTTGACCTCATCAGAAGGAATGTCTTAAGGTAGTTTTAAAATGCTTGAGTCTTGAAAAAATGTCAAAATGAAATTAACTGTGTATCTTTTTCTTGATTAAAAAATTACGTTTAAAGGAAAATTGAATCCATATGTTCTTGTTTACTAATATAGAAAGTTACTAAAATGTAATTAGAGACACTACTATCCATTCAAGAAACTTAGAAAAGCTTTTAAGTATGCCTTTTCAAAATTCCTTCAAATAAGAAACTATATTTTGCCAAGAAGGTATTTGAGTTTAATCTTAAATCTTTAAACAGATAACTGTGGTAAAAATTCTTTATATAGCAGGTCTCACACCCTGAATACAGGAGGTAAGAAGCTACTTTGTGCATTTTTTCCCCCTAGCCTCACTTAATGATGGGTTAGTAGCCAAAAGA